AAAAATATAATTTAAAAAAAAAAATTAAATTAAAATTTATTAATAATTAATATATTAAATTATTTTTTTAATTAATTTTCGAATTATTTATTAAACCGAATTTTAAATTAATTTTTAAATTAATCGATAAATTAATTTAATTTAATTAATTAAAATTAAGTTTTAATACGCGTAAATTATTTAAATAAATATTAATTAAACTTTAAATTTATTTACTTACTTAATTAAATGTATTTTTTTCATGTTTTTTTACTTATTTTTCGATTTAACTTTTTTATTAATTAATTATTTAATTAATTATTTAATTAATTATTAAATTAATTATTAAATTAATTTAAAAATTAATTATTAAATTTATTATTAAATTAATTATTAAATTACTTATTTAATTAATTATATAAATAATTTCGAAATAATTATTAAACTTTAAATTTATTTATTAATTTAATTAAATGTATTTTTTAATATATTAACTTTTTTTAATTTAATTATGTAATTTTTTCAACGTATTAACCACTTTTTTTAAGTTTAAATTCGAATTTTTTCGCATTTTAAAATCGCATAATTAAATTAAAAAATAATTAATATATTATTATATAATTAAACTTTAAATTTAAATAATTTTCGAATTAATAAAATTATAAAATTAAAAAAAACTATTTTATATAATTCGAAATTTTTTTAAATTTATTAAAATTAAAATTAAATACTTTTAAAAAATCGACTTTTTTCGGTAAATTCGAATATCCGGTTTAATAAATTAACGTAATAATATATAAATCGAAAAATTACGTAATTTTAATATTTTTAATTTTTATAATTTAATAATTTTATTAATTTTTATATATATTATATAAAACTTATATATTTAAAATAAATAAAATTTACTACATTTTTACGATATAATTATATTATATAAAATATATATTTTTTTATAAATTAATAAAATTCGAAAATTAACCCGATTAAAAACTCCGAAAACTCCGACAAATGTTAATTTTTCCTTACGTTTCGTTGCGACATAATAACCCTCGGAGCTCGGGCATTTTCCTTAATTAATAATTTTTTAATCGATATTTATATGTTTTAAGTTTTTATTTTAAATGACAGGAAGTTCCCGTGCCGGGAACACACATCCCGAGCTCCAAGCTTGTCAATTGGCTCAAAAAGCCGCTTTGACCACCCTGAAGCCGCTAAATCTCTCTAGCGCTGCGCTAGCTTCAATTATTGGAGCTTTTCATTGGATGCATCCTCTAGCGCCTTATGCTTTGATTGGGTGCATCCTCTGGCTCATGATTATGTAATCTTTTTCTTTGAATGCTTTTCCTGTTGAAAAATGGATTAAGTAATCGATCAGTTCAGTTCAATCAGTTCAATTAGTTGATCAGTGAGTTCAAAAGTCAGTTCAAAAGTCAGTTCAAAAGTCGGTTCAAAAGTCAGTTCAAAAGTCAGTTCAAAAGTCGGTTCAAAAGTCGGTAAATTAGTCCTTGGATCAGTTGTTCGATCAGTTCAACAGTCGATTTAGGGATTAGTCAGATCAATCCCTAATCCAGTCCCTAGATCAGTTGTTCGATCAGTCCAAAAGTCGGTTCGAAAGTCAGTAAATCAGTCCTTCATCCAATCCCTAGATCAGTTGAACAGTTTGTAAATCGGTCCCTGGTCCAGTCCCCGATTTAGTCCCTGATCCAGTCCCTGATCCAGTTCCTGGAATAGTTCATCGATCAGTCCTTTGATCAGTCCAACAGCCAGTTCAACAGTTCGTAAATTAGTCCAATAGTCGATTCAGTGATTAGTCAGATCAGTTCCCGATTCAGTAGTTGTTCGAACAGTTCAAAAGTCGGTTCAAAAGTCAGTAGATCGATTAGTAAGTCAGTCACTAGATCCGTTCAAAAGTTAGTAAAGTAGTCCCTAGATCAGTTCAAAAGTCGGTCCGAAAGTCAGTAAATCAGTTCTTGATCCAGTCCCTGGACCAGATTAAAAGTCAGTTCAGCGATTAGTCAGATCAGTCCCTGGATCAGTTCTTCGATAAGTTCAACGGCCAGTTCAACACTCAATACATCAGTCCCTGATCCAGTCCTTGGATCAGTTAAATAGTCAGTAAAGTAATCCTGAATTCGGTCCTTAGATCAGTTCGAAAGTCAGTCCCTAGATCAGTTATTCGATCAGTTCAAACGACAGTTCAACAGTCAATAGATCAGTTCGTAAATCGGGTCCTGATCCAGTCCCTGGATCAGTTGTTTGATCAGTTCAAAGGTAAGTTCAACGATTTGTCAAATCAGTCTCTATAGTAGTTCAACAGTCAGTAATTCAGTCCCAGGACCAGGAACTAGATCAGTTGCTTAATCAGTTCGAAAGTCAGTTCAACAGTCAGTAAATTAGTCAGCAAATCTGGCTCGACGATAAGTTAGATAAGTCTTTAATCTTGTCCCCGATCCAGTTCTTAAATTAGTTTAATAGTAAATAAATCGATTAATAAATTAGTTTTTAAACTAATTATTCGATAAGTTTAAAAGTTAATTTAAAAATTAATTTAACGATTAATCGAATTAATTTAAAAATTAAATTAATTATTCGATTAATAAAAAAATTAATAAATTAATTAATAAATTAATTTAATTATATATTAATAAATTAATTTTAAATTTAATTTTTAAATTAATTCGAAAATTAATAAATTAATTTTTAATTTAATTTTTTAATTAATTTAACGGTTAATTTAATAATTAATAAATTCGTTTTTAAATTAATCGAATAATTAATTTAAAAATAAATAAAAAAATAAATAAATAAATAAATAAATTAATTAAAAAATAATAAAATCGAAAATTAAATAATTAATTAAAAAAAATACATTTAAATAAAAAAACTCGAAAATCGCGGGTAATTTACGTAATAAAATTTATATTAATAATTAAAAATAATTAATAATTAATTTAATTTAATTAATTTAATTTAATTAATTTAATTTAAAGTTAAATTATTTAATTTTAAAAAAAAATAACGGTTTATATAATTAAAATAAAAAACTTTTAAATTTAATTAATTAAATAATTTTTTTAAAAAAATTAAAAAATAAATAAAAATGTAATTTATTTATTTAAATAAAATAATTAATTAAATATTAAAAAATTAATTAAAATATTTACGAATTTTTTTTTAACGTATTAATTATTTTTTAAATTTTAATTTCGAATTTTTTCGTTATTTTTTTTTTTAAATTTAATTTATTATTTCGTATATAAAATTTTATTAAAATTATTTTTAAATTATTTTTAAAATTAAATTTTTAATTTAATTTAAAAAAAAAATTAAATTAAAATTTATTAATAATTAATATGTTAATTTATTTATTTTTAATTAATTTTCGAATTATTTATTTAACCGATTTTTAAATTAATTTAAATTAATTAACGAAAATTAAATTTTAATACGTATAAATTATTTAAATAAACGTTAATTAAATTTTAAATTTATTTATTTATTTAATTAAGTATATTTTTTTTATATTAAATTATTTATTTTTCGATTCGATTTTTTTTAATTAATTATTTAATTAATTATTTAATTAATTATTAAATTAATTATTAAATTAATTTAAAAATTAATTATTAAATTAATTATTTAATTAATTATATAATTAATTTCGAATTAATCGTTAAATTTTAAATTCATTTATTAATTTAATTAAATGTATTTTTTAACGTTTAACGTTTTAATTAAATACATTTTTTAATGAGCAACACTAAATCTGCAGTACAGTTTGGCTATATCTGCAGTGCTGAGCCACTTTGGAGAGCCGAAGTTCTCCCGAAGATCCGAGCTCAAAAGGTACACGTTTCGCCATACAATTCCACATACAAATCTAAGTATCTTTTAAGCCTGAAAACCTTATTTTCCACACGTATCTAGATACATGAGCCTCCACCTTCAATCAATTATTTCACCTTGAAAATAACTTCAATCTATTTGAGATCTGAAACATATACTAATTACTCCTTTCTGCATTGAATGAAACTGATTGCACCTCTTCAAAATCCGAATTCAAGGGTCTACAGTTCTTTGAATTCAAGAGGGTTTGTACTGGTCTCGTTTTGCGACCGCTCTTCTAAACCCCGCCACCACCTCTCACCACAATCTACTTCTAACATATCTTTGATAAGCATTATCTTGCTTCATACACCCTTCCACAAGGTGCATTCTAATGCATTCAATTGCTCTTGAAGTGCGCTTTTATTTAATCTACTTTGCGAATGATTTGGACCTGTTTTGGAGGAGAAATAATAGGTTGAAGATTGGGTGTTTTTGGTGTTCTTGTACTGTGGCGGGCGTTGCGCAGATACTTTGATTTGTATGGGGATTTGTATGACAAAATAGGTACCGTTCGAAAGCCCGCACTCGCCACAATGTGGCTGACACTGCAGATATAGCCAAAGTACACTGCAGATTTAGTGTTGCTCTTTTTAATATAACGGGTTTTTTTTAAATTAATTATGTAATTTTTCTCGACGTATTAACCATTTTTTTAAGTTTAAATTTAAATTTTTTCGCACTTAATAAAATCGTAAAATTAAATCGAAAAATGATTAATGTATTTTTACGTAATTACATTTTAAATTTAAATAATTTTCGAATTAATAAAATTATAAAATCGAAAAAAATTATTTTATATAATTCGAAATTTTTTTTAATTTATAAAAATTAAAAATAAAAAATTTAAAAAATCGACTTTTTTCGGTAAATTCGAATATTCGGTTTAATAAATTAACGTAATAATATATAAATCGAAAAATTACGTAATTTCGATATTTTTAATATTTATAATTTAATAATTTCATTACTTTTTAAATATATAATATAAAACTTATATATTTTAAATAAGTAAAATTTACTGCATTTTTTAAATATAATTATATTATATAAGATATATGCTTTTTCATAAATTGATAAGATTCGAAGATTAGCCCGATTGGGAACTCCGGAAACTCCGACAAGTGTTGATTTTTCCCTACGTTTCGTTGCGACACAATAACCCTCGGAGCTCGGGCATTAAGATGATCGATATCTTGATACGGGGCTCTAGCCCCGTAACAATATAACCACTTCAACTCGAGTTCTAAGGCCCTAGCGTGCAGCGATATCAATATCACGCCATCATTCCAAGATGCCCCAGTCAATTCAAGTATCTACCTTACACGGGTAGATACTCTTTGTTTCCATGTAAATACTAGGTAGGTAGGTTTCCATACGACTTCACTCTGTCAACTTCTTTTAGAATCTGTTGGTGGAGCGGAGAAGAGATCAAGTGCTGTTGACTAAGCGAACCAGTCTCCTGGAAATACCAAGATTCATGGCTGGCTGGGCAAACGCGCGGCAACACCTAGCCGGATCCAGGTTGGTTGTGTCGGACAAAGCACCCTGTAGGTGGACACGTTATTGTATACACACGTTTTCTAGCTCGGAGAACACGTGGATTGGACAATGAAGTACCTAACCAATGTAGCTTCTTCAACGTCACTCGTACCAATTGTGAGGGTCGATAGTCCAAAGCAAAAGACAGCTCGGATGAGTTCGAGGTTAATGTTACATCGCTGCTTCGTACTGCTGCTACCAATCCTTCATATAGCCCTCACTTCCAAGAGGTTCATTGCCGCTCGATGTCTGTCCTCGTTCACTCGTGATAACCGTATTGTCGGTAGTAATCTTGATATAGTTGCTTCGATCCCTGCTCTTGGAGGAGGTTCCTGACACCATATCCATATTCGCCCCGTTTCGAGCCGATCCACGGAGCTTGGCTAGAGCGTATTCGGATGTGAAGGCCTTGTTGTCGGCCGAGATGAGGCCGCTTCGTAAGGATCGGAGGAAGGGCCAAAAATACGCAGCACAGGCCGCTGATATGCTTGCGAACTGGACAAATTGCATGCTCAGATAATATGGAAACCCTCGCAGCGTGAAGTTATATTCGGAGAGACGGGGGAGGTAGATGAGTTGGCAAATCATGGCTGCGATAGCACTTTAAACTTGTCAGTTCTGAATAAGTCGTTATTAAAAAAGAGTTGGAGACTAACAGTATTCGCACAGAGAAGAATGACAGGACGGTAAGTCTCGTCCTAATAGACATCTTGAGTGGATAGATAACGGTCGTCGGTAGTGCAATTAATGCAGCGTCCGTTAAAATGTTCGTGATACCAACGTATTCCAGAAACGCGTGCTACGCGAGTAATCAATGTTAGATCTTGAACGGATATTGATCTTTTGCTTGGTATGAATGCTCACCCTATCCAGACATTTAATATCTCCTTGCTCCCATATCCCATGACCTCCACATTGAAAAGCCGTGCCGACGAAAGCCACCAGCGACCATGTTACAACTGCGATAACGAATACGGACGTGAGGCGACGATGGCTCGTATCTGGAGACAATGTAGTCAATCCTGTGCAGACTGACAATTTTGCCAGACCAAGAGCAAGGATATAAAGTAGTTCTCCGGCATATTGGGCCTGAAAGATCGAAGTTAGTCCTGGCATGGGAATTAGAAAATTCCGTAGTAAGCGCATACTTTGAGCCCGGCTGTCATTTCATCATCAGAGATGTCATTCCGTTCCTTGCCAAATATTTCACCTTCGGGAACTAGAAAAGTAATTGATTCGCCCAGCCCGGCAAGCTAATCATCTGAATGTTAACCCATCTGCAAAATTCATCCATCTTCTTTGGAGAGTATCTTCACCTACAAACGCAGCACTGATCATTATTTCCTCCCATCCAAATCGCTGGTTCGTCTTCAAGAAAAATTTAGTCAAGAAGCGAAAGCACAGCATGAGCGAAGTCAACGCGAGGAGTAACCAAGTCGTCATCTGAAGGATCGGGTTCATATTCGAAGGTGTAACGACGATACCCATCGGCGGGGACTGCGCGGCCCCCTCGGAGGCACGACGCAGGACCGACGGCATCGTGGACGGAGACCGGAATGCGCCGTCTTGAAGATGTCCGACGACAGACTTCAGGATAGATCGCACAAGAGCGACAGCGGGTCGGACATTGACAGGGCTGAAAAGCCCTAGGGATTCCCGGGACAATGCGGTATGAAGGTAATAATAAGGGTACGCTGTATGTATTAATTAAGATTATTGTCAATAGATTTGAAAAAAAAGACCTGGGGAAGTAAGACGGCTTTGATTCGCGCGCGCTCCGTGCGCTGCTCTCCAGGATAATAAGTTACGAGGAGTGGACACGACCAACGCCAACCACGTCCTCTAACCTCTGACGGTGCTTATGGAGACATAGATTTACGATCGAGCCATTGAAGATCCTCGGCAGTTGGCCCCATTAGCTTATTTGAGGAGGCGTTGCTTGCAATGAGACAGTGAGATCAACTACGAGATAGATTAGGATGGCATGAGAACAGACGTTACACTACATAGAATATACGAAGGCTTTCACGGATATCCCCTGATCCCCTGGCACATAAATGGAAGGCTTTTCTTTTTGGAAATGAGCAGGCTCTCGCTATTGTTTCTTAATCTTTCCTTTTAAAGCGCTAAATCGGTGAACGAAGGATGCGGGACCTCGGGTAAGGGATCGACAGAGATGGGGCGGGAACTATTCAAGTTTAAAATATGTAGGACTAATGCTAGTAACGCCGTGGGGGAGCAGGTGGCTTGGGTTGTTTACGGTAGGCAGCAAGGATATTAAGTATTAAGTATGCTCGGTATACCTCTTGGTCCTTGCTATCCTTGCTCTCGACTTGGCCTCTAATAACATAAATCCTTTACGAGAATAAGTAGTCTAGGCCTCGTTTATATTTTCAGTTAGACCTTTTCAATATTGCGGCACAATCTTCTAATACAACGCTGAAGAAAAATTCTTGTTTTTGTTACAGAAAAATATGCTGTCAAACCTCGAGAACGGCACTAGGTACCTAGCTGTCTAGTAGATATGTACCTACCTACCTTGCTAACTTCTGAGATTTGTTCTTGGTCTGTTAAGATCAGCCACGTTGTGGTCTTCTGAGACAGTGCCTACGAGCCAATCGCGGCTCGTTTCGCGACTCTACCCTTTTTTGTACTGCATAGTATGTGCTACGTAACATGGATGGTTGGTTGGCACGCAATGTCGGATAATGCTCAGACGCTGGGCACATGGACCGGGCATGGAAGTTCAGTCCTACGCTGACTCGGAAATTCAGTAAATCCTTTACCATATTAAATGTGCAGCATGCAGTCGCACGAGACACACAATTAGGAAGGAGAACGGAAGCCTATTTTTTCGCCATAAATTTCCCACTTAAGGTGAACTTTGGGACCACGACGTCCCCCGAAGGTTGCAGTGAAAAAAATACCTACCTAGCCATGTACTTCCACTGTCTGTCATCGCAGACTGTAGCGACGATCGCCAAGACGGGCCGACTGGGTACAGCACTTAAAATCTGATCCAGTAATTATTCAATACCAGGTAGGTACTCAGGTATAGTAGGTAGGCTCGGGCTGTCTATCATAACAATAATCATCAGAAAGAGAAAATGACTTTGCTTAATAATGAACAATTCATAGAGCATAGTTGAAGAAAGAGCATGGCAATGGGAATCTGAAGTGGGGGCAAGTTCCTCGATAACAGACGCGATCCTTGGCCTCCACAAGACCGCAGTTGAGTTGGCTTATTGATTGGTGCGCACATAGGCAAATCACACTCTAACAAGGGCAAGGGGCCACCACGGTTGGATCGGCCCTTGCAGATTGGCTATCAACCATGTGAAGCCTCCCTGCTGACTCGTGCCCGACAATGAGTGCTACTTTGAACTTTCGGCGGTTAGTCGAGATGTTTCGCAACGCGAAAAAGATAAATATAATTCACATCGGACGTTTCTTAATAGGTAGGTTAGGTACGTTTCTTTCGACTTTTTTTTTCAATTATCGTTAAATATAGCAACCTCATTTCCCTGTCGTATTATATCCGATTAAAGCTTAAATTTCATACTTGAAGATCGTGGTAGCGTCCGTAGTCCGGATCATGACCCTTCCGGACGGCGATGCCGCCATCGGCAACACCCGTCTAACAAGGATGCCCCGAGTTCACCTAAATCATGACTATTCCATACCTACGTTGCACTATCGTACTTAGGTATATTAATACCTCGAAACGTTGATCGCTATGCTCCCATAAGTGTAGAGTCTGTAGTTGTAACCAGGTGTAGATATTACTGAGGTGATCATACCATCCGATCTGTCCCTAGAGAGAGCAGTCTTCTGCAATGCACTAGGTACCTCTTATGAGATTTCTAGCTAGTAGCTCGCCATTATCCCATTATCTATCCGTGATATCACCTACTTAGGTAAACAGCATCGGATTAATGCTGTTATCAAATTTCAAACTCACCCCCTGAACACGTGACGCTCCCCTTTTCACTTTCTGCACCTCGATACCTACCCCTATGCCACAAAACGCGCATAGCTAATGACAGCAACAAAAATCCAATTGTAGCCAATAATTATCGTTCGTAGAAGTTTACTTTGGTCAATCTCGAAATTGGTAGCCTGTAGTGCGACTGAGTGCCTATCGCATTACTCTGTTACTACAGTTGTTGTTTGACCCTGCCTACTAGGTACCAAGTAGATACCTACCTAGGTACCTGGGTAATAGGTATGAGGAAGAATAGATTAGAAGAGTAGGAAATGAAGCCCGAGATAACCGGTAGTCATTCAAGTGGTTACCTAACCATAAATAAAAGAGTAAAAATCGAAGATATTCTATTGAATAGGTTGGTAGATCGCTTAACAATAACCAACAAAACTATCTCTCGCTATGGACTGAGCTAAATAAATCAGTCTTCAGAACCCCGAATGCGAATTCCCTCTATCTCAAAATATTACTAAGACCGAATTTTACATTGGCATAGCGATACCAGGAAGCTCAGTAAGCCCTGTGAGTTCGTTAGCATTTAGGATTATTATGCAAGTAGTGAGTCAACATACATCCGTCCTCGTCCTCGTCCACCACCTTCTTTACAGCGCATTGTCTGGCATTGGCGATGTTCTGGGTGAGGAGGTTGGCGCATCGTGCACCAAAGCAGCCAGAGGTGTCCATGGCACGCTGGAGAGCATCGCCCTTCCACCCGAATACGTAATCGGCGTGCTGTCCCAGTCCAGTGTTGTCACCCGTGCTCAAGTAGAAAGGTTGAGTTCCATCAGCGGGCCACTCAGACTTGTCGTTGAACTTAGTAGTATCCCACACAACCTCGTACATCAGTTGCGGGATTCTAATCGGGTGGCTTGCCGGGCAAGAGCCTCCTAGACTAAGGAAGTTGGCCGGTCCAGTAGTGGGGTATGTGACGTGGTCTTGGTGGTTGGGGCTGTCAAGGTTCTTGCCATCCCAGCAACTGGAGATGATGTTAGTATCATAAAATCTTTGTATAATGTGGATATCTGGAGGCTTACGTCGGGAAGAGAATGTTAGACCGAATACCACCTGCACAAGCTTTGTTGGGTAGAGCTTGGGAATCAACGCTGTATTTATAGTCAGCTAACATGAGTCTCCTAAACTTTCACACGGAATACGAACTTGTTGTCCATGCAGGGAGCGCCGACATCACCTCCGTAGTTGGGCCCTGTGTAGCAGCGGTAGCAGTTCTGTCTCACCATGCTTGCGTTGGCTTTTCGCAGCATTGGGTCACCAGAGAGCATGCGGAAACCCTAAGTTAGATGGTTAGTGTCAGTTCTTCTCATTGAAACTAGAACGAGTGATACTAACCGGCTTGAATGCGGTGATTTGACCTGGCTGAGCCGAGACGTAGTAAACTAGGATACCGCCTTGAGTCTGGGTGCTGAATTGATCGTTGAATTGCAACCTGAAGTGAGTTCTGTAAGTACCTAACAAAATGGAACAGAGCCTTGATATGGAGGTACGTACGCATGGCCGAGTTGTGGGACACGCTTGTAGGTTCCGTTCTTAGCCTTGAAGTAAAGATTGGCTGTCCAGTAGTTGCTGAAGTCCTCGCCTATTCACAAGTAAGCACATGATATATACCATGTTATTTAGGTAGGTAGATATAAAACTAACTGAATTGACAGGTCGTGCAGGAAGCGGTGTCAGCAACATCGCCAGTTGTCATCGACGCATTGAAACCATTTCCTCCTACAATCTGGTGAACGTGTGCAGAAGGAACCACACCAGGGTTAACAAGCGGGTCGAGCCGGTCGATAACGACGTTAGGGCATCCGAATCGCAGCATAGTGGTGCCACCGCCGCCGCCAAACTGGGGCGCCGCTTCAGCGACAGCCGCAAGGCTGAGAAGAGTAGTCCAAAACATTTTAGAGGGATTAGATGTTGTTGACTTTGTCCGACAGTGAGGTGAAGGTGCATTAGATGCGGACAGTTGCTGGGAATGTTTCGTTATATGTAAATCAGGGTACACGATAGAACCAAGTCATCTCTCTGCTTAATAACTGCCGAAGTGTAAAAATTCTATTAATATCAACTTGGATGGCACCCAACTTATCCAATATCCAGAAACGCCACGGTAGGTCAATATCCTTCTGAGCTTTCAGCGCGTAGGGACAAATAGCCTCGGGCTAATATATAGTATATATCTGATAGGCCCGTACCGGGTAAATTCAAGTGAAACTTCTTTAGGATAGCAACGAATGAAATACTGCAAACTATCTTTTTCCGGTTAGGGGACTCATGTGAGCCGCTTTTAACCTTTCGTGTAAACCAGGGAATAGGAGGCGAGCCACATGGCCTGTTAGGGTTGACTAAACCAGGGATACGTCGATATCTTCAACGTCACATCTTAGCTCGAAGGGAGATATGTAGGTATACTTGCGTAGGTAGATATCACGAGACTATAGCCTTGAGTGAAGGAATTACAAATACCTACAGATGTATCCATGGTAACTTCAATATAAGCGCCAATCATTATTGGTTACTATCGCTACCGACGAAACGAAATAGGTTAGGGGTATATGGAATGCAGCTCTTGATACTGAACAACGGGTTGGGGGCGTGTATCGAATAATTGTGAAATCGAGATCTGGTAATTAGAAGGTAGATATCGGGTGAAAGGCAAACCAACCCCCCAAATACGCTCTGATCAATTTGGGGTCTGCTCAAGATCTTTCATTGTGGTGGCAATTACCTACCTATCTCCCTTAAGACTACTTAGTTACCTGTTGTACTTCTTGCCTGTATCGAAAAGAAAGATGAAGATATGAAGAGAGTCGAACTGTAATAAATTTAAGTTGTTGCTGGTATTTTGAACGTATGTGGAGACTTTTTTTAGTCTTTCAACTACTGAACTCTTGAGCGTTCAAGTGATCTATGAACTACCAACACTTTCCTCACGACGCACTTCCTAGATACTAGGTATCAATCGGACGGAACACTAGGATATCTGATGTTAAAAGGGGGCTGTTCGAACCACATCACAAATAAGCACTACTTGGCTAGACCATTAGGTACCTAGTAGGTGTATTGGAAAGTATACCGGAATATGTAAGGCAGACAAGTCTTCTTTTTTAAAAATTCATACTTTACATGAAATCTCTAGATTACCCCAGGCTTGATACTATGGGTTTTGCATCAACGATGGGAAAAGCTTAGGTAGGTAAGTATCTTATGAAACACAGAAGTGCCATAGTCGACGGAGAAGACGTCGAATGCTCACTAGGAACTTGTGTTGTGGGAGAGCTATTTTTCTGGAAAAGAGCTGTCGAGTTATTGCCCACAGATTTTGGCCAAGACTATGAAATTCATATCTGAAGATTGTGAAGAGGTATATCAAGTGCGAATTTAGGAACGGAAGAGTGACGAGTAGCAACTAACTGTTCATTCCAATTTATTAAAGGAGTTAGAAGTTGTTTGCGGTGTTCGGAAAGTCTAACGAAGTTAATATAGGAACATCAAGCCTGTTTGATAAAAACTTTAGGAATATGCAGAATATTTCCTCTAGAGTAACAAATAAAAAAATTACTAAAGAGATGATTTACCTCTTGAAAGAGGCATCGTATTGAGATAGCATGTCTGGACGCTAAGACCTCGGACCAAGGGTGATTTATCATTTACTTCAGGTAGGCAGGGTTGCTAGATTTTAGTGAATGACTGCTAGAGATCTGGGCGTTTAGCCGCTAAAGAAAGATTTTAGTGAACATCTGGGCAGTTTTCAATCTGGCAATTGTATTACATAACCAATTACATAATCTTCTCGGGTCTTGAAAGGATGAGATTTCAAATCTCGTTCAATCGACTTCCCACAAACAAATCATCTTAATAGCAATCTAGTATAAGACGATTTTGAATATAATTATCGTCATTATAAGAATAGGGAATTCTTTATTAAGTGTTCTGATTAATGTCACTACTGTATTAGCCCTGGGGCCCCCTGGAGGTGATTCTAAATTAGGCGTGTCATCAAGCACTAAACCGCTATACACCGTCCATTCAATACAGTGAGCTACAGTGCATATTACCCGCCGTAAGAGGATGGTTGGCAACTGGGCACATGGTGAACAGCCGCTAGAACCCACACGTTGATGCATTAATCTCCAGGCAAGCACTATGAGAGTATATATACACATTTAAATATCGATTCAATGACTTAAATCAATTGACACTTCAAGCCTAAGGTAAGTACCTGCTATACTGCGATGTGATATCCAGTTGGATCCGTGAGAAAAACCCATTGGTTGAGGGTTTTTACCTTTGAGGGGATACTGGAGGTTCTATAAATTACTATACTTATAGGGAGTCTTCAGTGGACAATTCCCTAGAAGTATGATGAGTCATCAAACACTATTCCAAGTTGCGACTTGGGAATTCAAAAAAGCGCTGTGGGGACAATGAGTAATCAAAAAGAATAGGTACCTACCTGTAGGTAGGTACCTAAATAGCACCCCTAAATAGTTCACAGTCCCAAATCAAACTTTAATCACTAATGAGAAACAACACCATTTACTCCTTCAAACCTCGATCACTATCCAATTGGCAATCAATTTTGACCTCTTCGAAAAGTTCTATCCCTGATCGAATTTCATAACTTATACTCAGTGTTTACATTTCCAACTACGACCGTTTTGAGCACCAGATAATCATCTAATCCGTATTTACTGCCTTCGCGACCGGTGCCAGAATGCTTCACACCACCAAATCTACGATTCATTAGCAATATTCGTTTCGCTCCCGAATAGAAAGAATTACTCACGGTGCCGCAGGATCCGAGATGACGCCCGTGTTGATGGCGACCATGCCGAATTCCAGTTTCTCAGTCACTCGATGAGTCCTAGATAGGTCATTTGTAATGACATAAGAGGCCAACCCCACATCAACACTATTAGCTCTTTTTATCACTTCATCCTCCGTCTTGAACCTGGTCAAAGCCGCAAGAGGCCCAAACGTTTCCTCGTTCATCACCTTCATAGAATCGTCCACGTCGCCCAAGATTGTCGGTTCGAAAAAGTTCGTACCAAGATTAGGGAGTCGCTTACCACCTAGCAATACGGTCGCATTCTTGCTGACAGCATCTCCCACATGTTCCTCCACTTTACTCACGCCGGTCGTTAGCGGTCCGTGGGTAACCGAATCTTGGAACCCATCGCCGACCCGGAATTTCCTAACCTCCTCTACGAGCCGCTTGCTAAACTTATCGTAAATGCCCTCCTGTACGTATATCCTATTTGCGCATACGCATGTCTGGCCTGTAACCTTAAACTTGCTTGCAATGGCGCTTGTCACGGCTACCTCGATATCTGCATCTTCGAACAGCGCTCCCACCAAATCAGTCCGAAATCTGACCTGATTCAGTCAGACTAAGTCAATACCAGTCCAGATTGCCTTTTTTTTTTCGACTGATCAGTTCAAATGGGTTTTTTTTTCGACTGTCAGTAGCGTCAGTTTGGTGTTTTGTTATGGTCCCATTTATATACGCGTTATAATTGGCTAATATAAAACAGAAGAAGTACCTAAGTACCTTTTAAAAATAAATATTTTGATAGGTATAAAGAGCTTAGTGCGTACCCACTTTTATAGTTATCTGATCAGTCCGACTGACTGATCTGATCAGATCAGTTCACTACTTGCTGACTAATCAATCAGGTCAGTTGAATGGCTTCGACTGACCTGACTGATCTGATGAAAGCGCTGTCTTCGAATACGATGAAAGGAGCGTTGCCTCCAAGCTCTAAACTTAGCTTCTTAAGGGTAGAGCTTGATTGCTGCATCAATAGCTTGCCGACTCTCGTAGACCCAGTGAACGAGATCTTTTTCACCGTTTCTGATTGGCAGAGAGCGAGGCCAAGTGCCGGGGTGTTCTCAAGCGCTGTCACCACGTTGAAGACTCCCTTGGGGATACCCGCACGCTCTCCGAGCACAGCTAAGATGTTTGATGAAAATGGCGTTAAACCGTCCGATTTTAGCACGACGGTACATCCCGCAGCAAGCGCCGCGGCGACTTTTCTAGCTCCCATTGCCATCGGGAAGTTCCAAGGAGTAATGAGGCCGCAAACGCCGATCGGTTGCTTAAGGATCTGGATTCGGCCGTTTGGGGTACTATGCGGAACAACATCGCCATAAATTCGGGGTGCCTCTTCAGCAAACCATTCGAAGAAGCTGGCTGAAAATAAAGCTTCACCCTCCGCATCTCCACGGGACTTTCCATTTTCAGCTATGATAATCTTGCCAATATCTTCCTTGTTCTCGACAATTAGGTCGAAGAGACGTCGTAAGATGCGTCCGCGCTGACGTCCAGAGAGCGCTCTCCATACGGAAAACGCTCGTGAAGAGGCCTTGATCGCATCATTGAGATCATCTAGATTCGACTCGGGGCATGTTCCGATAACCTCGCCGGATGCAGGGTTTCGAACCTCGAATGTCTTTTTTGACTTGGAAGATATCCATTGACCATCGATATATGCGCCCTCAACTAGGAGGCCAGGATCTTTCAAACTGAATGCTAACGAGGCGACCATAGTTACATACCTAGGTAGGTAGGTATAATACGATGAGGGTCTAGGGGAGACGGATGGAAGCTCAACTAACCATGTTCGCATTAACTACTAATAAATATAGATGCTTCATATTTCATTGAAATGATATTATAGTCACGCCCAAGTTACCTAGATATCAAGTTTCGGCGATCAGAATAAAGCATCTTGAAGAAGATAGGCCAATCCTCCAGCCTCATGACGATGGTCACAGACCCACATACCGATCCCGAGATTGTATCCACCTTTTTAAGGAGACTCCTCTCTCGGCTTCTCATCCGAACAACCAATGATGGGAGACCCGATTATCGCCTTTGAATGAGGGGCTTTGGGATGCAACATGATCATATTCTCATGTTCTAAGGCATATTCGAATTCATAAAATTTCGACTCGATTGAGATATACTCCATAGGTATTGAAGTCGAGTATCTTTAATGAATCATGGGTCGTGCTAAGCGTCCTTACACCCCAAAGGCAAAAGGTAAGGGTTAATGCGTGATATTCCATCATATTAGAGTAGGTAAGCTAATGCTTAACCAGGTTGCTACGAATGTTCGCAGCGCCGCATCAATTGCGATAAGGGAGAGCCTAGTTGCGACAAGTGTGTATTGAAGGGGATAGAATGTAGTGGTATTAGTGGCCAAAGGCAGAGGTTCCGCACTTGGGCCGCACCCGAGCAGAAGGGACAGGCAAAGCCGAGTCTCGCCAACCGCCCCTTAAATCGTCGGGTACACTTCGTCGTCTCTCCAGAAGCAGATAGTCTTCGGAGCCGCATAGTAGTCTCAAAAGAAAATAGGGGCTCGCCCCATACCCGCCACTCATGCGTCGCTCTAACTCCTGGCTCAGCATGGGGCCATCCCTCCAACAAATTCGAACCCATCCCAACCGAACACTTGAAAATTTCACTAACCACTCACACTCTGGATTATGTTGCTCCTTGGCAGCGTTTCATATTGAATCATTGTAGGTTTCTCTACAGTTTGGTTGCGATCTAGACAACACTAAATGCATACTAAATCTGGAAGTTTCTACCTATATCGCGCCTGAGATGGTTATTATTGACGATCGCAACAATGGCTGGCGACATCTCATTCTGCCGCTAGCCTGCGCCGATGAGCTTGTCATGTATTCTGTCTTAACCGTCGCCGCGCTTCATTTTTCCGAAAGAGCACAGGGCCAACACGTCGCCGACCCGATCAGATTGTATTCCAAAACAATCAATGAGCTTCAAAAGAGAAGGGACCTATGCGAAGGTGATCTTGAAGCAAGATATCGCATCATCGTAACAATTATTGTACTATTATTATCCACTCTTGTCGATGGGTGTCCCGATTTCACCATTCTCTTCCGTATGTTGCAGTCCGCTCTCGACGTAATTGGCGGAGAAAAGTCTCTCGCCGCCAGTAAGAACGCCATTGCTAGCTTTTCGGCCAAACAGATCCGCAAGTATGGGCTTATACTTGAACCAACACCTTCAGAACAGCCTGGCTAATATTTATAAACCTCATAGGATAAGCGTCTATATGTCCCCCTTCATCAGTCAAGATGCAGGGGTATGCGCTATTGCCACACAGGTTCAACAACGTTGGGATGATCAGGAATACCTATTCCAATTGTACCCAGACCATGCATATACGTTACCACTGACTTCCAGTCTTAGAGAACTGGCGTTCCAGATTTATTTACAACAGATACGTGGAGTAGTAGATACCAATGTAAAAATATCGGATATGGTATCTAGATTTAGATTGATGCTCGAATCCATCCCGGAAGATGGAGAAGCTGAACACGTACTTATTTGGCCAGTGTTCATCGTTGCATCAGCAAGCTATACAGCAGAACACAACATCTATTTTACACAATTCTTGGAGAGACAGTTCTCGCGTAGCGGCTTTCGGAATATTATTAAAGCCGTAGAATCCCTACGGAGAATATGGGCAAGAAACAGGTATGAAGATTGGACGACGCTACTATCGGAGCAAGAAGTGTTTGTCATGTAAACCCAGTTACTACCTGTCAACTCAAAAATAAACACAACGTTCAATATGATAGAATGAGACCTCTTCAGTAACTATAGTCTAGATGTAGGAGTCTGCTTACTAATAGCATCGATAGCTTCCTTTGCCCCCTTCTCGCCGGATGCAAGAGCTCCTTCCATATAACCCTTCCAGTCGGTTGAATATTCAGTCCCAACAAAGTGAAGATTGCCAACCGGTTTTCCATACACATCAACAAATTTAGCATAGTGGCCAAGAGCTGTGACAGGGGCTAGAGCGCCTCTGCTGAAGGTCTCATGCTGCCATATTTGCTCGAAGAACTCAATAGGTCGGTATACTTCTGAATCAGGCCCCACGTTGAAAATGGTGGCCAATTCGTCGAGTATTACCTTGCGACGCTCGTGAGGATATAACTTAGCCCATTTCTTACCTTCGTCGCCGTTGACAAAGCACGTGAAGCTATAGACGCCATCCTTATCGATACTAGTGTCACGACCCAAGCATGCAGGGCCATTATAACTCATGAAGAATCCGTTGAAACCCAAATCCCTCCACCAAGGTCGTTCATAGAAGACAATTGCTTTGTTGTAGTGGCCAAGCCTTGTTCCGTTGGTTACCTCCTGAACTGCAGCTGGAAGTGGGGGCGAAAAATTGAGTTCCTTGTACATAGTACTAGGGATAGAGATGATAGCTTTTCTAGCATTGAAAACTTTTCCGTTCGACGTGGTTATCGCGACGTAGGTTTTGTTATCCTCAATAGACGCGACCGGAGAAGATAGATGAATCTTGCCATGGCCTATCAGATTTGCAATACCCTTAGCGACAGACTGGGTCCCTAAAGATATAATGATTAGCTAACGTAGCCAAATAAATATCTAGGTACATAGTTGAGTGTTGACCTACCTGAGGAGAGACGCATATAATTGCCACCGGATGCGTCATCACCACGAATGGCCAATAGACCTCGATTGGAGCGACAATAGTCGATGAACCAAGCGGCCGATTCTTCAGTCGACTCAAACCCGTGCATTACACGTACCCATAGGTTCACCATTCCCAATGTTTGAGGGCTTCCACCAAGGTTGCGTACATATTGGTCTAAGGAGATATCATCGTCCTCTTTACGGAGGCCGTTTGGTTTCAACGATTCAGCTTGGATATGATCCCGAATCCTCTCTAAGTTCTTTTTATCTTCTGATGAGAACTAGGGGGAACGTAAAGTTAGCTACCTATGCATTGCAGAGATTAGACGGTAGATTGTATTACCTCGGGGGTAACCCCTTGAGGGGATTCGATCCTAGTACCATCAGCAGTCAGCAAGACGGCGGTATGTCCCAACCTCTGCTTCACAATATTCTCTTGAAGGCCAAAGCGTTTGATGTAGGACCAGATTCGAGGCTGAAGGGTGTCATTCACCCATGCCGCCCCCAAATCGGCAACACCGCGCCCATTAGACAGGGGGACGGACCAGCTCTTCCCGCCAACGCGATCACGGGCCTCAACAACAGCAACTGACAAACCAGCCTGCTGGGCAGAGTAGGCGGCCTGAAGACCACTATAACCAGCGCCAATAACGACTATGTCAAACATTGTATCGAATAAGACGAATGAAATGAGGGATCAGACTGGATGCTGAGTTTCTGGACCGTGGACATCATCGCTTTAAAATGTTGGTGTCAAGTTCCCATTTGCCTCCACGATAGATCAATGTGGTAATCATGAATTTGTGCTTACAGGAGCCTGCGTTTTCACATTGCATGCTATCGTTGTAGAGAATGGCTCTCATAAGAATTTCCTAATTGGGAAGGGTGAAGGTATCTCCACTAGCACTGAACGAGGTGGGGCTATTTCGGCTTCTGTGCGGACCCGCATGACATTCCGAGTCGCCCTGGCCTTCTCGGGAACCTTTGCGTGCTCATGAACCAAACGGAAACCAAAACATCTGGTGGTGGGATATTCCAAGGTTGAAGAGTGTATATCTACTCCGAGGAAATGTCAGGATCTCTTCTCAGTTAGTTCAAAGGTAAGCGTATAGGTATTCAATCTCATAATATCACCCTACCTACCTACCTAATTGAATAGGTACCGATTTAAGGATCAGGGGACCTTATACAGCAATACCAGGTGTCGAATATATCCGAGTCGGGACGAATTCGGTAGAAAAATCATGAACACGTCCGAATTACACGAAATCGCGGGTGCTTTGCGCACAGCCCGAATCAATCGAAGTCCTATCCCCCCTCCATCCAAAACCTACCCATCCTTAGATGTGAAGGGAGCCTTCGAAGTCCAAAGGATTACAGTCCAGAATGCCATCAGTAAGGATGGCGACCGTCTAGTAGGATACAAGTTGGGAAATATCGCGAAGGTTATGCAAGATGCATTCGGCCTCGACCAGCCTGACTATGGATTCCTTCTCGCTAGTCTCTTCGTCTACCAAGGCACCAAGATCTCATTAGACAAACTGATCAAGCCTTACGTCGAATTAGAGCCAGCATTTGTGCTAAAGAAACCTCTGCGAGGTCCCAACGTCACAGCAGCCGATGTCATTAGCGCCGTCGACTACACCATCCCGGCGGTCGAAATAATCGACTCCCGAGTCCAGGATTGGGCCATCGGACTCGAAGACACCCTCGCCGATAACGGGTCAACCGGCGCGGTGATTCTCGGGGGAACCCCGCGACGGCTCACAGACCTCGACCTGAGCAACACCAAAGGCATACTGAAGTTCAACGGACGGGAGATCATAACGGGCAATACGGGAAACATTCTTGGAAATCCGATATCCGCAACCGCGTGGCTTGTGAACCGACTTGCCGAGTTCGACGTTGAATTTCTGCCTGGGCAGGTAATCATGCCAGGTAGTTGTTTACAGGCTATGCCGATGGAAGAGGCCGGGCATTGGTCATGCGAGTTTGAAGGTTGGGGGGCGGTTGAATTCGATGTGGTTGCGAATGGGTCTTCGAAGTTATGATTGCATGGGATAATTAATATGGAGATTACCTAATGAGCTGAGCTAATCATAGAAGCTCAAATTTGTCAGCTCTGACCTAATCTAGGCTTACCTAATAGTCCCATGACAACCTTGAAATAAAGATGTACCAAGAAGACAGACAGTTCCAAGTTTTACTATGGTTCATTCCTAAATTTACAGTCAAGCCCCTTCACGTTATTTTAGGTATCGTGTAATATAAATCACGGCGTACCTAGAATTGTTAGTGATTACTAGGTAGGTAGATATTCTGATCACAGTTCAAAAGGATGATCTAACTAAAGTGAAATTATGATTACGTAAACTGACCTCGCTTTGCCCAACAGGGGTAAATAGCATCAGGTGGGGTGTGGGGGGCGCTAAATCAAGTAGCTGTTAAGGCATTTCTTAAGATTTGTGCATCGCGACAAATTCGAGTCTTGACATCCATGGATAACAAACGTACTAGGTACTACGTATGTATATCCCCCAATCAATCCTCGCTTTTCTTCCCGTTCTCACAAGTATATCATTGACAGGTATGATTACTTAATAGGTAATATAACCCGTACCATTCAGGCAGACCGAAGAGCAGCGACTGCGAGACCTCTAAAACATTGAAACATACCGCGACGTTTAAACACGAACACGTTCTCAAGTAGCGTCGAGACTCTACGACTTTACGCTCTACTTCCTCGCTACCATGCCCCTCGCCCTTGCACGCAATCATTACGCTATATGGAATATTCCTCGCCGTTGTCTGCTCGAGGGCTTGTTGTCTAGAAAGCTATATAGATCTCGATGTTAGGCGTATAACATAGAGTTACACGGCAACATTCTTCAGTCCGAGCTTGCCTCTACGTACCGCTCGTCGAAGTTTCCTAAATCCTACCGTCCTACCGCTTCTATAATTTCCAGTGATGGACCAAATCGCAGACTACCCTCCGACAGTCAATTCTAATCGCACCCAAGATATGAGAGACGGAACTTGCTCTCGAAGAGATTTGTAGTGGCCAAGTTTGACTACTTCTCGACGAGCGAGGTGCCGACAACAAGATGCAAGCGGCCTTTCTTAATAAGAAGTTAAACATAGTACGGGATGCTTTGAATGTTAGCTTCAAAGACCAAAGTCTGTGGTTTTACCATTGCCTTTTGATATCTCACAACATAGACCATCTCATTCGGCAGACTGTTGTGCCAGCTTTATTTTCAAAGGAGAGAATTGTCTCTGAAGCGCGAGATTACGGATTTGCGAGGACCTTGGAGCGGCTAGAACAAGGGCTAGTGCGGGTGCCAGTGGCACCCTGGTCTAAAGATCTGGCTGACAAAGTTCCAAGGTTGCGAGCCCTAGATCCCATGCGTACTGGTAGTGGAGCTACTGTAGGTACCTACATACAGCACTACATTCCTTATCTTTACCCCGCCATAATGCGGGTACCTAGTACCTAGTAGGCATCGTGTCGATGCCGGCATCTACCAAGATACCGATAAATCCCCATAAGTCGTCCTTTATGTCGTGGACATTTTACCTGAGATCATTATATTTGAGTGTATCTTAGGTTATATTGGTAACTACCATACTCGTATGTCCAATGGAAGGCTCAACGGAATCAAACGCTCAGACAGAGCGGCGAAAAGCTAGACGGACTGCAAATGCGTTGAGTGTCCCCTTTTAGAGGTCCAGCTGTAATATCGCCCAAAACACTAACGCAAATAGTTGTATTGCATGTCGCCAAAGCAAGATTAAGTGTTCTGGAAACGAACCTTGTCAGAATTGTAAAAGACGTTCCGTCCAGTGTCACTTTGCCGAGAACGGCGGGAAAGTCGTTGTTTCGGAGAAGTATGTCAAGATGGTTCTCTCTTATATCTCCTCCAACTTCGATACTGATCTGGCCTTCGACACCTAAGATACCTTCAACAGCTCCAAAAGCAAGCAGAGGAGAATATACGATCACCTTCAGCAAATAACCTTGAGTCGCCAGTCCAGAGCGAAGACCCACGTAATTCTCCGGTTGCGTCAGTCAACTCACCAGCTGTATCGCGGATGTCTGCCCTAGATGACGGCCCACTTAGGCGCAGATGCTCTACAGATGCCGCCCATAGGCACAATAACATCGCCAATCCCCAACGTAGAACCAACGGTAATCTTATTTCTCCTGCGCCTACGATCGATGCTCCTCAACACGATGATAGCTCTCCACTTCGAGTCTGGTCCAATCCATTTGCAATACCTTCTAAAATCATCAAGAATACATGTAGGAACAAACGCACCTGGAGTGAGTGTTTGACAATCGCCACCGGCTTCATAGAGCTGATACTAACTCAACTGCAATAGTATGGCTAGCCCCGTGGTCAACATGGTCTTTTACTATTCGGCTGATGCTCATGATAAATGAGAAGCTACATCCTGGAAACCCTTCGATCCCGCCCAATATAATTGATCCCGAAATATGGACCTTGCCAAAGGGTCCGTTAGTAGATATTCCCGATTTTAGCAGTCTACCGTCGCTAGATCACGCTCTATATCTCTTAAACTCCGTCAAGTTTCATCTTGGTCAGACATACCGCTTTTTTAACGAAATGGAGATTGAGAATCAAATACGTGATTTTTACTCTGATCCTCTTCAAAAAACCGCAGAATGCCCTCTGTGGTTTGTCAAGTTCCTTTTGATCCTTGCCTTTGGAACGGCTTTTCAAGCACAGACGCCGGAAACGCAAGAGCCGCCTGGAGCAAAATTCTTCATACGAGCAATGGCTTTATTACCAGACCCTACTTCCCTCTGGAAAGATAGTCTGTTGGCAATTGAGGTCTTGGCGTTGGTTGGATTGTATTTATTTTCAATCAACGAAAGAGAATCGGGCCATATCTACGTGAGTATTTAAGTATCCATTTTATCTCTTCCGCACCATACTTTGCTTACCCTTTCTTAGCTTGGCCACTCAGTACGCATCGCATTACTAGAGGGGCTACATACACAGCTTCCTGAACATGAACTTGGCGTAGAAACTGTCCACGCTTGCCGTGATCTCTGGTGGACATTATACCTCATGGATAGGCACTTCTCATCGTCTTTGGGGCTCCCAATGTCGGTACAAGACGGCGATATCACGACTCCTATTAGCCCACCTAGCGCAAATTCTAGAGGAGATAGTTGCCGCACACTCCAAGTCAACCTTGCACATTTATTATCAGTCATACTTACTAGTAAGCCTAACCCCGGTCTTCTAACAACTATCTCACCTCACAATCAATGATAGCAGTGTACAAACCACATATAACTCCACTCGGAACATTCCTGGAACAGACAAGATCTATTCTACATACATTGGCCCATCATGCTCAAGAAATCGAGAAGATCATTAGCCTTCTGCAAAGCTCTGTCGGTACGATGCCAAGAGATACGCGACACCTAACTTTGATGTACCACCAGGTCGGCCTGCCCATTTTCTTTCTTTCGTATCTTGTATAGCTCTGATGAGCTCTAACATCATTCCCCAATAGTGCGTTATTGTAGGGACACGCCCACTCCTATTATCAGTCTTAAAAGAAAGGCTTGACGTATTAGGATATCCTGGTGACGATCATTGCGAGAGCTTTTTAGCCCAGACAGGGACTGTCATCTCAACGGGTATCAAGTCGGCCGCTAAGACACTCCAGATTTTAACAAGCGAGTACAGTCTCTTAGGTGAGGGTCAATTGATGCAATGAATGAGGCATACCGATACTTAACGAATTGTTAGAAGCATTCTTGCCATACGATGTTGAGTTCACGTTCGGAGCTGCTCTTCACTTGACTATGGCCAACGCCCTATTTCCGGGCGTGGTTGACTACCAAAGTTGTCACCAGCTAGCACACCAAATTCTAGATGATTTGATTTCTAGGGGAAACCGAGTGGCTAAATTGAGGAAGACGGAATTGTGTCATCTAGAAGGCCTGTATCGGGAATTCCAAACGCGACAGCAAGGCCATCGAATGCTATATTTATTTAATCCGGATGGTACGACAATCGAGTCCATACGAAAAGAGAATCAAGACCGTAACAGGCATCTTGCAGCGGATAGCGATACCAGTACACTCGTAACAACAGCAGATCACAGGCATCATTCGCACTCTCCACATCCGCATGCCACCAGCAATATGGAGTTTCTTGACAACATCGGCATCTCATCGGAGGAATTTCTCTCTATAGTACAAGAAATTGGAGATCCAGAATCGCTCCCTGAGAGCATGTTGACGTTATTTTAACTTCAGGCAATACAGTATTTCATATCCCCAATACTGTATTCCGACCAATCAAAACCAATACAAGATTAGTATCATACCCCTTACGGAAAGATGCAGACTGATTTAGCCAATCGGATCCGAAGTTTCTATAGGCACACAGTATATCTTCGCATTTCGCCTTTCTAATAAGAACCTAAACAGTCATAGTTCCTTCGTAAACCTACCTAGTACCTACCTAGTAAGTGACTAATAGGTTGCCAAGTTAATATTTTTATCAAAGCTTATCATTGATCACTACCCAGTAGCTAGTAGGTATATCTTACTTGTCGCGATATCTGCGATCCCGAACTAGCGCCGCCGACAGTCTCGGCTTCGCTATCCGAGTCTCGGGTTCTACTGTGGTACTCGGTTCATGATCCTTGTCCTGCATCATGATGGACCCTACATTAAATCCGGGGAGCAGATAACGGAGCCAAAGATAGCCTCGAGTATATACCTTCCAAAGAGCCAACTACTGTCATTTGCTTTCGGCATTCTATTTTCTGGGCACTTGTTATTCTCGGTACCAAGATAGGAAACATTATGGACATAGTCAATAGGTAATATCTAAAAGGATGAAACCCTACCAAGCGTACCGTTATCGGCATAATTGCCTAGGGAAGCTATACCATCATGGGAATCTTCGATGGATAGTTCGGGTTCTCGACCTGATTCCAGCTTCTTGCGGAACAGCTCCGTTCTAGCTGACGTGGTATGCATATAATTGGCATTGAACGGGGATAGACATCTAGGAAGCCCTGAGTTAGATATTGATGGTTTCTAGGGCTGCGGACGTACCTATCAAGCTTACTAACGACGATGATACCCCCCTACTAACCCAGAGATTTTCGGCCATGGTCTGGTCTCTCAACCAGCTAATCCGAGGCCACTCAGAAGCACTTCCATACCCTACAATTTTAGGTACCTCTCAAATTAGATCCACCTCTTCTTATTTAAGCCAATTGATTCATTTAGTAACCTAGATAAGATGAAATAAGCGCGATCGATAGCTAGCTCTAGGTAGCAACGAGTCGACCCTATCTGGTTGCAACGGCTTCTTAGACTAGTAGCTATCCTAGGTATAGAAGAAACTTGTGAGGCATCAGTGGCCTAAGACGCTGTCCATTTGAAGATGGGGGCTATGAATTGGTATTGGCTTCCATGACCTGGATATAATGGAGTCTATCAGGCATATACTCGAGATACCCCAGAGAAGAAGCCGATCCCATATGAATAAAAGGCATCGACATGGCTTTCTCGGGTTGAAAGGATCGGAATTAGAAAGCGATAGACAGTCTATCATAGACCCGATCCGAGAAATGCGGAGGAATCGTCACACGACATACATTTCCAAGATAGGATCGAGTGTCTAAGCTACCTACCTAGTATTCATCTTATCTTGGAAATTTATCAACCAGTTAAGAAGAGGGATCCACGATAAGATATGTAGAAAGGTATTGTATATCGGAATGGGATCGGATGCTATCTAACTCTAGTCTTCCTATGAAGCACGAGTCTACGACCTAGTACGGGGGTATTTCAAGCAGTGACAAGTCTAACGGGTATAGATATAAAGATATCGTGTCCATATCATCCGCAATACACCCACGATAGTATATCACAGGCTTCCGAGTTTCATAAGTAACAAAAGGTCAAAATACCAAGATACAGATATTTATCCCATCCTACAGTTACTACACCATAATGCCGGCTCTAACTATCAGCCCAACCAGCACAGCCCCAACAACCTTTCCAAAGGCTCCTCATGTCATTGGTCCCAAGACTAAGAAGGCTACGCGCCCTTCCGCAGAGATACCCCAGTTCCTAATCGACGAGGCTCGCGCGACCGAACCGTCCTCATGGGACGTAAATAAACACCTGAGCTATCAGCCACCGGCAAAGATCCACACGATGAAGGACATCGGCCTCGAAGGTCACGGAATCTCCACCACAGCTGTCTCAGACCCTTTTCCCCTATTCTCCAAAGACGCCATGCTACAGATGAGACGGGAGATCTTCAGCGACCCAGTGCTGGAGAACTGTCGTTACAGCTCCACCTTTAGCGCGAACATGGTTCGTGGAATGGGTCCTGAGTGAGTTACAATATGACTACTTACCTTATTCTGCATTGTCATTTTTGAGAACTAATTTGGGTTTAGACGAGCTCCTTTTACCTACGACGCGTGGTGGTCCCCAGAAGTCCTTGCCAAGATCTCTGAAGTGGCCGGCATCGAGCTCGTGCCAGCATTCGACTTTGAGATCGCCAATATCAACATTTCGATCAACGACCAGAACACAGGCACAACCGCTGATGGTGACAAGACTTCATCGTTCGCGTGGCATCACGACAGCTTCCCTTTTGTCTGTGTAACCATGGTTTCCGATTGTACAGGTATGGTCGGAGGTGAGACGGCAATTGAGTTGCCTAGCGGAGAGATTAGAAAGGTTCGGGGTCCTGCAATGGTAAGTAAACAGCTATGACAAATGTGATATCGCAGTCAAGGAGATGCTGATAGTATATCAGGGTACGGCTGTCGTCATGCAGGGCAGATACATCTACCACCAAGCTCTCAAAGCGTTCGGGGGTCGCGAGCGTATCTCTATGGTGACCGCTTTACGACCAAAATCACCTTTCGTTCGGGACGAGACGATCCTCACCGGTTCCCGACCAATAAGCAACCTCGCCGAACTCTATCCCCAGTATACAGAGTACAGATTAGAGATCCTCGAGGAGCGCTTCCGTGCGAAGTTAAAGGAGGAGCATCGCCGAGAGGCTTTGCATAAGTCATTTGACTTGGTTAACATCAGGGCCTTCTTAACAGATCAGAAGGAGTATATAGAATCGATGTTGGAAGAGCTTTATGAAGTTGTGTGATTGAGCAACTAGTTGTCTAGAGGTAGGTATGTACCAGATAATCAGCTGTACTTCAAGATAACCTGGAAAGCATGAGTCTAGCCTATCCCAATACAAGAACATGTCAAAGCAGTACAATTCAGTACATGATTCTGAGTTAAGAACCTTAAACAAGTTTATTGTCAGAGATTTCTTAATTTTACATGGAATACAAAGTCTAGTTGATGATCAACTTTAAGATACACTTTCAAGGTTCCGAATATACTAACCCCTTCTCAGTAAATTCTAATACTCGTCCTCCGAATCCGAATCTTCATGCTCGTTAGGTTCCAGAATTAGTCTCTTGCAGAGAGCTATTATATGTTCGTCTGTTTCAAACTCTCCGCCTACGCGATTCTCATAATAATCTGCTCCTCTCGCAACGCCTTCCTGAGCTCGTCTAAAAGCATCATCTAGAGTCACCCCATCATATCCATCATCGGTGCCCATCTCCGTTAAGAGATTCGCAAGATCTCGGTCTAAGGCAGGGTAAGCATCCTCCGGGAACTCACACCAGGAATTGATAGGTTCTTCGCGACCAGTAATGAACACGGGTCTAGCAGTAGTGCGGCTACGTAAGGTAATGATTGCACGCATGGCCTATATATTTTGAAGACATCAGTAAACCAATACCAGGGTTTGGGAGGAAGGACGTTGGGGACGTACAAATGCAACTGAGAGGAAATTTGCCTCAATTCCTACCCATCTGCCCCTAGAAAGAATGTTAGCAAAATTTCTTAAAAGTTCGGTCGCGATTTTACTTACGCTCTTCGACTTGCTGGATGCGGTTGTCCACAACGTTCGAGATCAATTGTCTTGAGTGTTGGTACCAATGAATGCTCAGGAAAAGACTCCGGTTCATACTCGGCAAACAATACTTCATTAAGTCAGCAATGCCTCTACCAACTCTGGAACGACGGTGTATCTCACTGTTGTTTGAATGCATGTCGCCGTGCACCAAGTCTGCTGGGTAGGCTCGTTCAATATTGGCAGTGGGAATTTCTTCCAAGTTTCGACCTGGCTGTAGCCCTCTTGGTGGATAGGCAAATCCTATACAGGCCCGTATCACTGGGTGGAAAACCAGAATGTTAGCTTACCTAGTTGTAGCAAATTGAAGCCAGATAGGCCCTGGGGATAAGAACTCACAGCACAGAAGTAGTCTCCAGAGCATCCTGTTAGGCAAGTCGTGCTCGTCTAATTCCATCCTCTTTTTTGCGAACTTGTATAAACTCCCATTCTCCAAACATTCCATCATGATTGTCGGGCCAGGAGCTTGGGTAAGTGGGTTCCAAACGCCTTCGGCGAGAGAGAAGGGTTGAACAACATGCGCTGCCCCTTTAAGTGCCTGCGTTATCAATCAGTTAATACCGGTTCAAGTAAGCCCTCCTCCCAGAAGAAGACTACTAGGCATATAAGGCAATATCTTACAGCAAGGGCCGCTTTCTCCTTCTCTATTGCGTCGTACGTCTGGGTTCTGAAAGGACGCTTGACGACAAAATTCAGGCCAGGACGGTTATATCGCCACCACCTATGTCTAAATCTGATTTTACAGGCTACATTGGTGGCGCCATTTCCAAGTATTTGTACAAACCGAAAGTTAGCAGAGTCTTGCTCAAAGTACCTTCGGATCCTTTGCGCTTCGATGCTTGCCGTGAATTTATCCCAGTCCGAACGGGTTTCACCAAAACCAGACCAAGTTTGAGGAAGCCTACCACCGGGAAGTCGACCACCGACGGGCCTGCCGCCGCCTGGAGGTCCACCACCCCCGCCGCCGCCTGGAGGTCCACCACCCCCGCCGCCGCCTGGAGGTCCACCTCCGCCTCCGCCTCCACCATCATCAGGAGGCCCACCTCCGCCTCCGGGTGGTCCACCGCCGGCACCGAAAAGGCCAGCGGGTAGCCCATAGAAAGGTTGAACAAAACCGGGTCTAGGGGGTCTAGGAGGTCTCGTGGGTGCCGGGGCATGAGGTCCAGCACGTCCACCGAGTTGTCCTCTACCTATGTTATTAATTATTGTAGGACCTTTTCCTCGCGGATTCTGGGGAGGCCCGACATTGGGAGGTCCGGCAGGTCCGGCAGATCCACCAGGCGGTCCTCCACCAGGTGGTCCTCCAACAGATGTTCCTCCAGTAGGTGGTCCTCCACTAGGTGGTCCAACGATACCTCCACCAATTCGTACACCGTCAGGGCCTATAACCTCGATACGTCCACCACCAGGGCCGACAAGGCCGAGACGGCGGATACGTCCACCAGCGGGACCGACAAGTTGACCATTCTCCCATCGAACTAATCCCCGAAGCTCTGGAGGAATGCCTCCTCGTGGATCATGAGGAAAGTCAACAGTAGGAGGAGGTCCGGCAGGTCCACCACCCCCAGCAGCTTTGCCTTTAGCGGGGCCGCGCGGAGAGACATCTGAATCTTCTGCATTGCCACCACTACCTCTACCACCTCTACTGCCACTGCCGCCTCTACCGCCTCTACCGCCACTGCCACCACCTCGGCCACCGCCTCCGCTCCCGCCTGCATCGCCTGTACCGCCTGCACCGGTACCCCCACCACCTGTCCCATCTGCTCCATCATCTGCTCCATCGCCTACATCATCGCCTACATCATCGCCTACATCATCGCCTGCACCAAAGCCGCCTGAATCAGGAACACCAGAACCCCCACGACCTCCCGCACCGCCAGGGCTCCCATCTCCCGCATCACCAGCCGGCCCACCTCGTCCATCATCATCGTCGTCGTCGTCATCGTCATCATCATCATCGGGATAGCGATCAGGAGCTCTACCAAAAAGCCCCACATGCGGTCCACCGGGCCTGAATCTGCGCCTCGGCGTGTGGGTAGAAGACGGCCTCGACTGCGAACCCTGCGGCAGTGTGTCCCAGCTCTGCTGGAGCTGATTACTTCCGCTGGCGGATTGGGGGCCGGCCTCGCCGGAAGCTTCTGGTGATACGCCCGAGTTCGAATCTATGAGTTCCCTAGAGGAGTCCGGCGGGTATTCGCTTGAGGTCTGGCTAGGCTGGAGAACGGGAGCCGGTGCGTCGGGACCCCCGGGTGGGCTGGGTGCTGTAGGGGGTGCATTAGACGGACCGGCCTGGTCGGGTAGATTCGGCCCGGGGACAAACGGATCCGACGGGTTGATTGCTTTGAAGGGGTCCGATAGAGAGGTTGCAGAGAAGAACTCACTTGTCCCTGAATTTGATTGACTTGGGTTTAATGGGGAAGGTCCCTGGGTTGGACCCGGCGGGGAGCCCTGATCGAATTGTTCTGGTGTGGGGGATTCGATGTGTGAACCAGGCGGGAAAGCCCCCTCATATGCACCATGACTGGAAGCTGGATTTGGTGCGATAGAATCCTCGGATGGAATGACGTCCCCGTTGTCCATCACCTCATCCTCAAGCTCCATCGCGTCGGGCGACACGGCGTCTGGGCCGCCTTCCGCTTGCGACTTAAAGGCGTTGTCGAGTAGATTGGAATCAAGAGCAGTTAGCCAATACTGTAGCTCAGCAGATGACCCATCAGATGACCCAGCAGATGACTCTGCAGACGGCCCTACAGATGACCCTGCAGATTGCGAGGCTTCTCTAGCAGCCTTCCACGCCGGCGGCATGAAAGTGCTGGTCGATGAATTATGTCCAGGAGCCACGGAGCTCGCATCTGAATCAGTATTGTCTGCCTGTCCTGATTGCTTCCCTGGTATCGGCTCGGAGATAGCCTCACGCCATATAGTATTACTCGGGATCTTGTTGATAGGCGCGGAGGCCGACTCCGGCCAACCCTCCCCAAGATTATCACCATCAATGGCCCAATTATGGTCCGCCTCCTCTTCATATTCTATTTGGAAGGATTCGTCGTCTTGGGAGTTTCCTGTGACTCTGACCGCATTATTGATGCTTTCCTGCGATTCGGAGTCTCTGTGGCTCAACTGTATATCTACACTGCTATCGGAATCAAAAGGTTGGTTGTAAACCGCAATTTCCCAAGGCGTCAGTTGACGTCCCCCAAACCCCTGAAATCCGGCGGGTTGGAAATTCGCAAACGGATCAGGTGGGTCTTCAGCAAGAACAGTCGTCTGCTCTAATTGATCTACACGGTCATCAAAACTTTCTCCAGGAGGATACTGCCTAGCAGCGATGAAGGATTCTTGATTAGGCGGTCCATCTCCGGGCCCTTCTCCGGGTCGCCCAGAACCCGGTTGGGGTGGGCGTGATGAGTCGGGAACTTGACTGGAAGACGTGGCCTTTCCAGTAGTAATTATACCAGACCAATCAAGGTTAGGGTTAACAGCTGAAGCAGTATTTCTGAAAAAGGGGCCCATATCAAAAGGGACCCCTCCAGGTGCAAGTACAGGTTCAGGTACAGGTACATCATCCGTAGGCGGATCGTCTATATCCATGGGATCATCCACGTCCATTGGATCGTCGAGGGGAGTAGCGTTGTATAAGTCATCGCTATCCGACATATTGATTTTTTAACAGAAAATAATTTGTAGTTTTTGGTGCCGTTAATGGCACATAGGCAGCTAGGGGTATAATTCGTTGAGTCTCATCACCCGTGGCTGTCCGAGGTAGCATTGGAAAGCATGCCTAGGTATATCTAACAAATTGAATAAAGAATTGTAGGTCTGTCTGAATGCGGATTATGAGGGTAAACTGGCATCGGTCCTTTGTTTGGGAAAAAAAAGGCCACCCATTTCGATGGAACAATGGGATATTCCCAATTCCCTTTTTCCTCCAGATGTCCTGAATGATTAATAACCTTAGCCTAGTTCATGACTTACTACTAACAAGGATTAAAAGGAAGCCATCATAGCATAGTTAGGTACCCTCAGTATATGATCTGAAAAGCGCATGTCGACTACCATTTAACGAGAATTAGTCATTAAAAGGAACGTAAAATACCTGGACCTAGGGAAATCAGATGCATCGTCATGGCCTGACAGAGTGAACATTAGTCGTAGTTAACGTCGTTATTCCGCATCTGAAGTGCCTAACGACTCATTGAGGTGGTTCCCCGAAAGAAATATTCTAGTTTGTATAGCTTCGAAACGTCGTTGACATCCGAGCTAGCTGTTAATATCATACCATGTAGGTGTTTAGACGTCATCACTTCTATCATTACTCTCAAGAAACCATTCATACCCTTGATAGTATCCAAGCCCCCATTCAGCTTAACCATCTCATATACAGCATTGATATGACTCTCCCACGCGATGGAATTCCCTGCGGCGAACTACACAAGCGCAGTTAGCTTTAAACTTTTAAAATTGATAACATTACGCCGTTGGGTCGAGGTCCTTTCACAAGAAGGAATATTCACCTCATCCGACGCAAGCTGTAGCGCGATCGAAATTGTTGAGTCTTCTACTCTAGATGTAAAAGCAGGAGATTTGGTTGTTCCGATAACAGCTTTAACGGCATCGCCAAGCATGCGTAAGCAAGACGCCTTATAGCGCAGCGCGCACTGGTGATATCGCGAAGCACCTGTACGGACATACAGGCTTTTGGAAGCACAGAGGAGCAAACCCATTCGCATTCCAGGGTGCGCGACGGCAACTGGAAACCATTCCTGCAAAGCTATGTGTTCGTAAGATACGTAATGGTCCTCGGTGCGATGTTTGATAATTGAATGAATATCTAGACAGGTAGGGTGAGTAAAGGAATATATATGAATGTTACACGTGCCGAGAGATGAGAACTACTAACAATAGTTTAACAGATATGACTCAAATTCGGAAGTTGGATCTGAAAGCGATGATATGATGGAAGGGTAATACACGGAAGTATTGCTACTGCCATAATGCTGACCTACACCATCAGCAATGAGGGTAAAATATGGTGGATCTAATTTCCGAAAATCCAGCTCGAAAAGGGCTCGACTGCCTTGCTCTTGTTGACCTTGCTGTATTGTTATATGTTGGTATTCAATCATACGTTTTCTTCTAGCCTTTGCGTGGCTGTTTCTCGAAACATGAGCTTTGATGAGTTTTCGAGAGGAATTGGAATCAGATATCCAGACAAAGTTGTTGCTAGAGGTCGAAGCATAGCCATCTTGAGGTTGATCCAAAATGAGATCCGAAGACATGACACCTACTAAGTATTCATGATAGATACCTACCTACTTACCGAATAGATAATGTAGGTAGGTGAAGAAGTTCAAACTTGAACTTCATAAGAAGAACGTAGCTGGTTCTTTAGCATCTAGGGATGGCGGGGCTAGTGGGGCTAGTGGGACACGAATCTTAATAGGATAGGGAGAGGTCCAGATCTACTAGGAACTAAACCAATCATAGAAAATCCAAAGCTTGGCAATATTCGGACTTTACGTACATACCTTGGAATCATGCAGATAGATAGTAGATACCTACCTAGTACATACCTCGATACATGCCTTCTTCTGTGTTTTTTTTTTGTATTTTATTTCATTCTTTTTAATAATTCCCAAGTACTTGAGAATGAGCTTGTCATTCATTAAGATACCTAGAGGTATTACATAATGCGTGATAGTTTGTAAAGGACCTTAATTAAGAATGCCTGTAGGAAGTACATATCCATATCCATATTGTAGCTTCCGTCTTGGCAGCCCTAAAACCCCGTCACCCCGTGTCATAGCTGCCTGAAGACTGCCCAGGCGAACTTGATAGCTGGAAACTGCCCCGCGCCGCGCCGCGCCTATGCATGCGGATATCTACGAACATTATTAATCCAAAATACGGAAACCAACAGAAGAAAACTTGTAATTCTGAATAGTTACAGATGTGTTCAAATGTATCATCGTTAATATTTCTTTTGTCATCTTCGCCATGCTAGTCGATATGCAATCTCAGTCACCATTATTTCAACTTCCTCAGGAGGTCCGCGATAAAATATACGAGTTCTATCTCGCTTTTAATCATTCCGATTTCGAAGACACTCTACGCCCCCAGATTGTTTACTTCGGCGATGTACCGTATTCCCGTCCACTCCCGTCCCTGATGCTTACCTGTAAGAGCCTATATCAAGAACTCAGTCCGACGGTTCATGGTGAGGCTATCTTGCGCGTTGAGATTCCCGGCTGGAACGACCGACGGATCGGGTTCGGCGTCAGGGGAAACTTGAAATTCGACAGGTTATCAAAGCTTTACCTTCTAATAGCCACCGAACATCCCAACTGGAACAGTTGGTTGTCGACCTTCGAAGCCGTCGCCGAGCATGGCAAGAACATCGAGACCTTGGTTATCGATTGGGGTCCTCGACCTGTCGAATCCGTTGGCTGGTCGGGGCGTGCGAACCTGAAAAAGGAAACAGAATTCTTCAATGCTATCACATCACTCAAGAATCTTCAGATACTTCGAGTGTACGGTAACATCTCTCCTCGATGGATGAACCGGTTCGACGAGATTGCAAAACGTGCGCATGTCGTGCGCTATCGTTTTCGCTGGTGGCGAGAGCCTGGCTTAGATTGACAACCTGGCTGATGATAAGTGAGAAGATATGGTATAAGTCCAGTAGGACAGAACACAAAGCTCCCACGGTTGGCAACCCCCCCAGATCCTATTCTTGATACGCGTTACCTTGCCCATGTATGGTAGCTTATGGCACAGTCGTTAGTTTCCTATGATTTTATTGAAGGAAAGAAGAAGAAGAAAATTCCACCACGCAGGTATAAAAGCTCGTATGTCCCACTAGAGGTGTTTGGGGCTACAACATACTCTCCACATGGATGGCATGCTATTGATAGACAGCCCCGACCCCGAGTCTGACATTTTCGCGGTGTAGCGTGCTACAATACGTGCGTACAGCGTAAGAGCTAGGCGGAATAGACTATTTGGTAGCGCGGTGGAGAATAGGAATCCCACTGATTACGGTACCTCTTAGCGCCTGTGTACCTAGTCAGCCCGGTCTACAGATCGACACACCGGCATCAAACATTACATAAACGAGAAAGATAAGTACCGAGCATTCCTAAGGTCAGGACCTCGTCGGACTATCTCGTCAACCGACTCAGAACTAAGCACGGAGCAACTTGGAGCAAGACGCTTTCCATGAACTTGACGCCTGCTTATGTAGGTACATAAGTAGTAGGTATATGGATGTAAATGTACGATTACATCGATAGATTACGCTTTCATGCTATGGCGACAGGGGTGGGTCCCTGTTATTGATATGCCACCGAGTAGATGGCACAATTTTACGTACCTGGGTATACGGTAGGTACCTGCCAAGATAGGTCAGCCCCCAACTGTGCGTCCTAGCTTAGGATTTTAGTGCAACTAGGATCTACGCTAGATTTCTTTCCTTTTTCTTCTTTTTTCTTTTTCTTTTCTAGTCCGCTTCTTAGCTAGAGAATGTTAAGTAGGTGAAGAATGAAGTGAGAACCTATGTCTCAGAATCTAATTCCTTTCGAAATTTACTTTCAATGTATTTTATCATGATTTTTTTAGTATCAGAGTGTAACTTATGACATCCATGGATTGTTCCATTAGTCGCATTTCAAGTATAGTTGTCGTCAGCGTGGATGTTTGAAAACTTGAAAGACTCAGGGTTTTGGCGATTTTGGAGATCAGGAATGGCGGTCGTGTTGTTGTCTCACATCCCCGCAGGACCTTGTCCACAGGTAGAGAGATAAGGCCATCGCAGGGGGGGGCTGAGATATGTGGTATTTGGCTATGCATGCCTACCTGGTATGCAACCTACGACTGAACGATGATGTTCGTACGGTGGGAAAATCCGGTCTTGTTAATGATTATGAATAGGTCCTGTAGCATTACCCCGCGGGCTTTGTTTTCACTCCTGCCCAATTCGACTCCAGCAGTTTGTCGGTGGTGAACATTGGCAAACACGAGGGAACAGGGCACGGATACTACTTACGGTCGAAACCAACGAAGCTACCTTGAGCTAGAAGGGTGTCCTAATCCAAACCGGCAGTTCATCGACGAAGCATTCATCGAAGACTAGGCAACCCTGTAAACACAATATTTCCCGTACCTACCATTCAAGCACGTCACTGCAACAAGCTCATTGTCCTGCATACAGCGTACTCTCCCTATGGAAAGGAGTGGGGGTGATACAGGGGACTGCATACGGCACACGTATAGATTTGTGGGTTCGAATATCACCTCAGTGAGAGGTCCGGGTCCCCCGAGCTGAGCCGTGCTAGGTATAGAGCCGATCACTACCTCTGTACTCTGCAAACATCAGCTAAATACCTACTTACTTGTGATGTATAAGAACTAGTGAGCCGAACCGGTACAACTCCCACTTGTCTGGGTCCTCTCTCACCCTCTTCTTTCCCGATTCTTCGTCAAACCTGTCGAGGCGAATCGCGACTGCTACTGCACCATGTACAGTCTCGGAAAGGTAGCTGCGTTAGCAGCATTGCAGTTTTCCCCTCTCTTCTTAGGACTGGGAACCGCAAGCTCGCTGCCTCCTCACGTGGAGAGGCTAATCCGGAAGCAAGTCCCGGCAGAGCCAACTGATGTCAAAACCATCACGTCGCCTGGAGGCTCCACAATCCGTTACAAGGAACCGGGTATTTGTGAGACCACGCCTGGAGTCAAATCCTACTCGGGTTATGTGGACGTCGACGAAGAAACTCACATGTTCTTCTGGTTCTTCGAAGCGAGACACAACCCCGACGAAGCGCCTCTAACTTTGTGGCTCAACGGAGGGCCGGGCTCTGACTCGCTGATAGGTCTATTTGAAGGTTCGTTTAGCTTTCTCTTTCTTGCCTACCTAGTAGACATGTTCGATATATAAAGTGCTTATCGTCTCGCAGAGCTTGGTCCTTGCAATGTCACTCATAATGGTACCTCGGTCGTGAACCCGTACGCATGGAACGAAGTGAGCAACCTTCTGTTCCTGTCGCAACCCCTTGGCGTCGGTTTCTCCTACGCCGACGAGGTCGTCGGGGTCATCAACGAGACCTCTGGGGTGCCTGTCAACTCATCTACGCCTGACGGCCGGTATAGCGATGTCGACCCATACAGGTTTGATACGACAGAGCTAGCTGCTAAGGGTACTTGGGAGGTTCTGCAAGGCTTCATCCAAAACCTCCCTTCCCTCGACGAGACTGTGAAATCTCGCAGTTTCAACCTCTGGACCGAGTCGTATGGAGGTCACTACGGGCCGGCATTCTTCAATTATTTCTATGACCAGAACGAGTTAATTAAGAACAAGACCATTCCTGGGGTTGAGCTCAACATGCATACCCTCGGCATAATTAACGGTATTATCTCGGAAAGAATCCAGGCTCCATACTATGCCGCCATGGCCTATAACAACACGTACGGTCTCAAGGCCGTTAATGAGACGATGTACAATTATATGTTGAACAACTACTACTTCCCAGGCGGTTGCCGAGATTCCATCGATCAATGCTTCTCTGCGGATCGCTCGACACCTGATGGCAAAGCACTCTGCTCTCAAGCCACTGCCATTTGCCGGTCGTTAGTGGAAGGTGTATATTAGTAAGTGGCAATTTCATTAGTCACTCTTTGCTAGGCACTTGGGAGAATGGTATGAAATTTGGTCGTCACGTGTCTCATTTCTAACTCTGGACAGTGTCGTGAGTGGACGAAACGCGTACGATATTCGAGCGCAAGACGGTGCCAACATCCCGCCCAGCTACTGGGTCGATTACCTCAACACAGCGACAGTTCAAAACGCCATTGGTGTCGACATCAACTATACGTCCACGAGCAGTGAACAAGTATGGATCGGCTTTGACTACACCGGTGACTTCGTGTATCCAAACTTATTACAAGATCTTGAAAGCCTTCTTGCGAAAGACGTCCGCATTGCGATGATCTATGGCGATGCTGTAAGCTGCTACTTCCCCTATATTATATTATCTCCCAACATCGAGATTGAGTACCGAGTATGTTGCTAACGACAGCATGATAGGACTATATCTGTAACTGGATGGGTGGCGAGGCTGTATCACTAAAGGTGAACTACACACATTCGACAGAGTTCGCATCGGCAGGATACGCACCCTTTGTTGTGGACGGCGTCGAGTACGGCGAGAGCCGACAATACGGAAACTTTTCCTTTACGCGAGTTTACGAGTCAGGCCACGAAGTACCATACTACCAACCTGTCGCTGCCTTAGAGCTCTTCAAGCGCGTCTTAAGCGACCTAGTCATTGCGGACGGAAACGAGAAGGTGACGGCGACGTATAAGAGTAACGGTACTGCCGAAGCTACGCATACGAATAGCTACACCACTTATTTTACTGGAAGACCCGGGGACTGGAAGAGTTAGAAACGTTATAATGTTAGACTTAATGTGTTAAGCGTAATCTAATTATTAGCCTGGATTTCCTGAAGTGTCCAAGGTTTGGGTGCATGTAAAGCAAATGATGTAAATTTATGGTGTTTTTGACAAACCACGTTTAAATATCATTGCGCTGACTTATTATTTTAGGAATGAATTTTATACTCTTAAATACCTCTATGTAATTACAAAACGAAGTGAACCAACTAACCAAGCGTCCGAGGTCGTCGTCCGTATTCCCTTCTACTCCTACATGTTGCGGGGTAGGTACCTAGGTACCTACCTATACAGCTACAGTGGCACCTAGGAGGTACCTCTATGGCCCCCAACCCCAGCCCCAACCCCGCACTACAGCACCTACAACGCCGCCCTCAAACCTCTCGGAGGCGGATAACTCCGCCGCGTCGTCGTCCCATTCGCCCTCTCATAAAACTCATTCGTCCACTTGACCATCTGCGCTACAATCTCCTGTTGCGCCTTCTTAACGCCCGGGTTAATCAGCGCATCTGCCGTAAACAAGTCATTGCAATGATGTCCGTCCTGCACGATAATACTCGGCACCTCCGGCGTCGAGACCAGCGGTCCGCCCGGTCGGAACTCGCTAGCCACGGAAGCTGACCGCCAGGGGTCGAACTCGCCGTTTACAAAGAGCAGGCGCGATTCCGAGTCTAGGTAATCGGGAAGCATCCACCCTTTCGTTTTGGCGTTTACTTCGGCGGCGGTTTTGCCTCGCGCGCTGCCGTAGGTGTAATTCCCCTCTTTGGGGAAGAATAGCGAGCATTGCCGCTCAAAGTAGGCGGCGTCGGCTAGACGGGAGTAGACTGTTGGGCGGTTTGCTGGGGCGCCGCTGGGTTTGGGTGTTAATAGGGGAGGTTGATGGGGGGGAATGGTTAGAGGGGGAGGACTTACGTCTGCCACCACGAAAAGGGATCGTTGCACGTCATCCACAGCCAAGTACGAGTGAACGGATTCGCCTGAGATAGATCCGTGTACATCGGGCTAGAGGCGTTGTAGGTGTCGAAACATCCTACGTCGAGCTGATTCTGCCACGCGGAACCAGAACCCAGATCTTTACAACCTGTGCCTTGTTAGCTCGTATTAAAGCAATGGGTTATACGGGTACACTTACGTCCAGGTAGGAACTTGGATTTATACCATCTGGCGAAGTTGGGAAGAGCTTTCTTAACACCAACTCCACAGGAGCTTGTGTGGTTAGACGGCCGGGTCGAGTTGGTCGAGTTCGGGAAGAAGCCCTCGATAGCGTCGCACCTATAACAAAGAAGCGCAGTCAGTTTTTATTCGCCGGGGCTTACACTAACCACAGTTCAATGCCTTACATTTGGTAGAACTGGGAGTAACCAGAGAAAAAGTCCATGCCTTGCCAAGCTGAGATCGGCGAGGAAATAGCTCTGGAATTATAGGTTAGTATTATAAAACTAACAAAAGACATTTGAATTGTAGGGGTTCGTACGCGCCAACATCATCGAGATGCGTGAGGTCTTGGAGCCCAAATAGATGCTTCAAGTCAGTTTGCTCCTTACGGGAACCGTGAGTGAGCACACGATCGACGTGGTTGATGATGGCACTATAATCCTTGGAGCAGTTCTTGGGCATTCCTTGCTGGGTTTCATGGAAATATTGCCAGAAGTCATAGATAGCCTCGACGGGGCCACTGGTTGAGTGCGTCGCCCAGAATGTTCCGGGGGCAATACTCTCGGTCCAGGCTCCCAACGCGCCGGGGTAGGAACAACCACTCCAGATCCAAGGAGCTTTTGGCGCGTTTGATATCCCCGTCCCGTTTACATCGAACGGCAGCTTCACTGTTCGGGCGAAGTGGACGAAGTCGGCGATAGATTGGTCCATGGTTAGATACTGAAGATTCTTTGTCGTTTGGACCTTATACGGCGTGCTGTTGCCCCAGTATCGATGTTCGATCAAGATGACAGCACCACCGACCTCCTGCGCGATAAGGCCGGAAATCACTTGAGGGGTCAAGTATAACTCATAACCCGCGGCGGCGACTTCTCCGGGAGTAATCATAACCACGGGAGACCCCGGGCCCTTCCACGCAGTTGCATTATACCAATAGGTCTGGTTGAATGTACCAAGCTCCGGGTTTTTATGATCGATATATTGCTCGAAGAAGGCTACGCCGCTATCAGGCTGTTCTGGATCGGCGAGAGCAGCTAGAATTTCCTCGCCGGCTTCTCTCGGTTGCGCATATGGTGCAGGAATTCCGAAACCGTGGACGGCTTCGAAGTACAATAAGGAAGAGACGACGCTCCCAACCACGGAACCCCTCATCGTGACTATTCTGATAGGTATAAGGAAAAATAAGAAACACAAAAGGAGACGCCAACAGAAAAGAGCGAAAAAGGCGATGAAGTGATGCCGTGAACAAACATCATGCTAGGTGGGACGAATCCATTCTTATTTAGGCACCACGATCTAGGACTGCACTATACTACGGACATGATGCCTGTGTTTGACCGGGCATTTTTATGGGATGAGATCGTCAGTAGGATTTTCTAGCGGACCCAGCCTCAAGCGAGGCGAAGTCTGACATGGTACTGGCGGCACACGTTCAGGCGCGCTGTAAGGAGAAGAGGATGGTTGGGATTAAGCTTATTCCCCCTCAGCCCTCCGAAACTATACCAGATCGAGGAAGACGGTGCGATCTGCCAAGCCGCGATATCATCTCCAAGGTATAGCTGACGATCATTATGACTGAGCTATCAGGCTGTCAGATTGCTTGATTCAACGTTTTCAAATGGAAAGAAGAGGCGAATTATATCCTGTTTTTGAACACACAAACAGCGTGTCAAATAATTCAAATTATTTCAACCTATGCATTAGTATGTGGATTGGATTATATTATCGGAATGTTTGTCAGACTTAATTAAACATGTTCCCAGAGGATCGGTATAGCGGTTTCGATATAGACGAACGTGGTAGGACCTTGACTCTGGACCCGACGCATTGTATTAGGTATTGTACCTTAGGTATCTGTGCCATGCGGTGCAGTGACTCGAATTTGACTCGAATTCTTAGATGGTCTGTCTCTGAATGTTTGTAGTATACTTGTCTGCTTGTGTCGATTGGGCTTACCAGCTACCTGAGTTGTTGAAACACTTTAAACAATCATCATAGCTTATACTGTCATTTAGTGTTAAGTTTCAGTTTGGTATTTCCAAGTTAATAAGGCGCTGATACCACTTAATTTCGATCAGTCGAATTGTCTTTGTCAGACATCGGCAAGAAATCTAGGGTTATACCTAGGTAATAAGAAATCTTCCACGATAACAAAACTTACCTAGGTACCTATAGGTAGTACCTACCTACCTAGTCAAATACGCGGTATCAGATATCTAGATGATAGTGGTTTTGTAGATGAGAATAGCATTAAACTAATGCCTAAAGTTATTTGTGACCCTTTTAACCTACCTATAAATAGATTCTATAAAGTGCCAAGAAATATACTTATCTGAATATTAATTCTATATCCGGAATGGATTCCTCATCTATCAGATATATATAAATAACCGTGTTTCGATGATTGTGGCTGAATTCTAGGCTAATGCCGTGCACGGCCACACCTTTAAGTCTTAGGATCGGAACCTTGAAGGCGGTTCCAATTGAAAGCTCCGGCTACATCGAAGCTCGACACCCATCACGTCACAACGAGTATTTACCTGTCCAAACAAACCGACCTCTATATATCGCACAATGGGCCTCTTAACAAGCTCTTCCGAGGCTCCCCCAAGTACGTAATCACCATACACAAATTCCGCGCATTTCCATCTTCAATTGCTAATCCGAGTTAACCCATTGGTCCAGAAGCCACGCGGGAGGAGATGCGAGATGCCAAACTCCCCATAGCCTATCGAGACAGCTGTGCGAACCTCCTCATTCCCTTGAACAGATGTCGAGTCGACACATACTACTTACCATGGAAGTGCGAGGTGCGTTGTCTCGCCTACCCTTCCGCCAACCCTCGGTTATCCCACCTAGACTAACGCTAACATCCCACCCCGCGAACAGGACGAGCGACATAGCTACGAGAAGTGCCAGTACGTCGAGTTCAAGAAGCGAGTGGCCCGCATGGAAGAGCTGAGAGAGGCTAAGGGAGGTGCGCGGAGTAACTAAGAGCTCAGAAACCGATGCGATCCGAAGGTGCCGTTTGCGAATTGGGCATAAAGGAAGAAAAGGACGTCAGAACTCAAAGAGAAAAGAATAAAGGAAAAATCGAAAGAAAGAGAGAAGCATATTGTACATACAAGCCTATTTCTCACCTACACACATATCCGCTAGAGATCGACATACTCCCAAGTATCGGGATTATCGACACGAGGTTATCAACGTCGAGTCTTGTCTTGTGCACCCTGTACCATCTATTGATTATTTTATTACAGGCCAATGGTAGTTATGTCAAGAGCCGTACGGAGATATCTGCTAGAGATCCACGATTAAACCTCTCAGGCATTAGCTTCGCTCGTCACGGCTATATTGTATGATTTTCACTGTGAAAACGGATCATCCCCAATATTTGTATTGTTGTCTTCATTTGCTTAGCTATTCGCTCAGCTATCTAGTACAACTCACTAAATTATTCATGTATTAGGGGATGGACATGCATAATGTGATACACGCCATCCTAATTATCTATGAATACCGTCTCGAACCTCGAAGTGGTGCATAGAGATTTCATTTTCTCGGATTTCTTCACCTTTTATAGTATCCATAGATGATAATCGCCCGGGCAAACACATTAAATCATCTCCGCAAACCAGAATACCAGAATTTCTACGATAATAGCGTTCATATGCCCGGTTCAGAACCACGTTTCCCAAATAACATCAGCTAGAATCTTGAGCTTGTCTTCCGAGCTTTGAACCGGTTAGGGTTGGAGATAGAGGATGTAGGTAACGACGGCTGGTAGCTTTGTGACGATGAAAATAATTCCTTCTTCGTCGAGTGGGATCCAATAGGCGCCGACACGTTCCTTGGTTTGCGGTTCTTCACATCCGCTTTCTTATGCACCCACCCATTGCTTCTAGGAAAGCTGTCCGGTTCAGGAGAATAGGTTCCATCTACATCGTCATCAGCGTAATTCTCTGCATAAGCAGGTTCCGAATCCGAGGATAAGTCGACCACCTGTGTCCCGGGAGGAAGCGTGAACTGAGTTGGCGGTTTAGTTGATCTTCGTCTCTTCGTTGGAGGAGGCGAGATTTTAACCTGTGGTGAATTCGAACGTGGTTTAACTACAGGCTTAGGCTTGTCGGATCTGTTAACACCACCGAGCCCCGACGCCTGGCTAGTTTGTTTGAAGCTATCGGGAACCCTTGACATGCTCTCCTGGTCGTCTGAAAAATCGTCAAGTTTCCTCATCGCTTCCTCATACTCTTGGTCTTTTAGAGCTCGGATTTTGGTAGTGATGGACTGAGACTGAGATTGAGACTGAGATGGAGTTTGCGTATTCCTGGAAGAGAGTGCTGTACGGGCCGTGTTCCAAACAGTATTGATAGATGACAGCGAGCTGGGAGTTGATGGATTCGCCGGTGATGATGATTGGTGATTTTCTACAGTTCCCTCTTGCTTGAAAATAGTTGACTGGCTCTGGCGATTCGGTTTTGGCGTAGGGGTCGATACGTCCTCATCGGATCCTGGGCCACGTGGACCTTCCGAGTTTGAGACTCCATCATCTGTATTTTTGAATGAATCCGGTTGTGTATCGTTCATGTCCATGCCATAATCTGGCTGCCGTCCACTACGAGCACTGCCCACTGATGAAGGGGGGATAATGGCTTTAGATTTGATTTTCTTTGGTGTTCCAACAACAACATCATCCTCGTGGCTATCAAACAACGGGGCGGATGACTGTCGAACACTCGGAATTCCCGAACCTGAGATATCAAGGCTAGGTTTATCTGACGGAATATCCGAGGTGACATCTCCGTGGCTTGAAGTATCATGTGCAGACCGATCACCGATTATTCCACCGATGGCTTGGCTGGTGCTCTCATGCAACTGTCGGGAAGGGCTACTAATTTGAGATAGACCCGATTCTGATCCATCGCTGGTTTGTTGCCCCTGCTTAACCTGAGATGCCTGCGGTTTCTCAACACTAGGCGCGTTTTGTTTCGTTAGTTCTGAGTTGCATTGTTCTGGGGCATCGGTTTGCATATCTTCGGTAGCGGTAGTTGGCTCCACCTCCGGGGCTAGGTTTTCAGCAGGGCGGTTGCTAGCGGGCTCCATACGTTCTTCGCGAGTTGTCATCACGGGTAACGGCTGTTGAAGGATTTTCGGCTGTTGCATTTCAGCAAAGCCCATGGTTCGAAAGCCCTCGTCTTCTTCTTCCTCCTCCTCGTCAAAATCAGGCGCTTCGAATCTATCATAAACTCGCTGACCCTTGTGGTCATATTTCTTCTCGTTTTTATCTAAATACCGGTCCCGTTTAGCAAGGCAGACTTCCACGCCAGTAGCGTCATCGTCAATCCTAACCACGACACCGGTCACATTAGAAAGTTGTGGTTGCCAGCCGGTTGCTGACGAACATGACCACTGCTGCCATGTAATCACCATACCAGCTTGGACTTCTCCGGGGCGTAGATCAGGGAGCGTTGACAAATCTGAAGGCAAAGATGGGAGATCGTCCATGTCGGTGAACTGGCTTGCATCATTAGTATGCCCGTTCGTCTCGTTATGTTGATCGTCTTCGGGATCATCGTAGTTGAGCTCGACGTCTGCATCGGTAGTGTCATCGATGCCGTTAAATGTGTCATCGTATCCCTCTTCGTCCCACATAGCGGACTCATCGTGCTTCCGCTTTTTGCTAGAGCGGCTGTCCTGGTAAAAATGGGCTTCGTTGCGCTGTGCTCGCTTACTTTGGCCACCACGTTTATTTTTCTTCTCAGACCAATACCCTTTCTGCTGGGGATCCCATCGCTGGATGAACGGAAAAGGAGGTTCGCTGAGCACTATTCCTTCTTGGCAACACTCTACAGCTCGATAGATGATTTTGTTTTTCCAAGCATCAGGGTCGTTTGTTGATTTTCCCTCTCCACCGTCTGCCTGCTCTGCGTTACTATAATCTTGCTTAAGTCTCGGGTTTTCAACAGGTCGAACATCCTTCATAAGGTTTTCTCGTAGCTTTTCCTCGTCTTCTTTAGTTTTAGGATTGCGGAGACCTAATGCCCCGAAGAGCATTCTCCGACCAGCGCCTACATCTAATCGACGCTTTTTCTGGATCGAACCTGACGACTGATCATCTTCGCTTGCGGGTGTCTTCGCGGGTGTAGCTTCTTGGATAGTCTGATGGTCAACTCCGTCCGATTCCTGGCGCTTTCTTTTTGTTGCATTTGAAGCTCTCGATGAGTCGTCTAATTGGCTAGATAGACTAATTTCCACCCCACCATTAGCAATCGCATTCAACAATTCTTGACGTTTGGCTTCAAAAAGAGCCTTTTCGTCTAGAATTGGAGCAGGGGGCTCGGCTTCCTTATTTATGGCCGTAGTATCTGTAGTTGTAGCTTGTTGAGCTTGCTTTTTAGCTCGTTTTGCTGCCCGGCGGCGCGCATTTCGCTTCTTTGTGCTCTCCTTACCGGCTCCTGGAGGTACCGGTACTGGATTGGCCCCGGGAGTCGGATTCACTGATACGGGGGGCAACTGGTTCTGTTGTGCAGCTCTACTCGATTCTTTGGCAATCTGTGGCCTTGCTGCCTCTTTGAGATCCGAAGGCGGCTCTTCTTCGACCTGTTCATTTTCAGATTCCGAACTTGATTCGGCCTCGGAATTGTCTTCGGAGGAAGATATATCGCTATCACTTGAAGACTCGCTACTAGTAGTGTCTTGACTCGAGTTGTTTTCTTGATTAACACTTGGTTGTTGTATAGAAAGTGGGAGTCTCGTAGATGACTCCTCCGGTCCACTCTCGTTATCGTCGTTGTCGTCGTTGTCGTCTTCACTGTTATCCTCGCTATCATCCTCACTTAGGCTATCCGAACCAGAATTTGACCCGGATGACACATTGTGGGACATAGAAGAATCATCGTCTTCGAGATCAACACTATTACCGTCACTATCAACTTCACTATTATTGCTGTCGTCATCTTCGTCGTCGTCGTCGCTATCTGATAGAGCCCTATCATCGCTTTCAGAAGTGCCATCACTTTCGGATTCAGAGTCTTCGTCCTCGGAGCCAAAGCCTGTATCGTCGCTAGATGTGTCATCGTCTTCCTCCATTGCCTTCTCAGGGCTTCCCTTACTTTCGTTCAAGGTCGATGTTGTTTCGCTCTCGCCATTGATATAATTGTTAGTAAGCGAACCGGATACCGCCGCCATTTGCGCTAGTCCCTTGCCTGAAGTAATTGAGCCAGGAGGAAGGCCGCGATGATCAAATTGCCGTACAAAGTCAGGAACTTCTTCCTCATCTTCTTCTTCAGCTGATTCCCACTGATCCTCGTCTTCCTCAGTGGCGTCATAACTTTCCTTTGCACATACATTCGATGTAGTACCCACTGGCGCTCCACTTTGAGGGATACTTGTCTTTCGCGACGTCTGTTCTCCTGAAGAACACAAAGCTAACAACGCGTATTCTGGAAGTTTTGGTTCAAACGCATTAACAAGACCATTGTACGTCGCCTTTAAGTCACCGTTCGAGCTATCTAAAAGCTTTTTGCAGAGTGCCGCCGGTGCCGAGGGAAATGCAGCTTGCAGTGCAAGTATCTTATTTAACCCTCCATCATCTGAAGTTTCCATGTCAGAAGATCCTGCCTCTTGCTCTACTTCTGACTCCACTTCTTCCTCCGTGTTGTAATCGGCATTATCCTTCATCAAATCTTGAAGTTCGTCTTCGAGATCTTCATCCTCAAGCTCCTCATCTTCTATATCTTCGTCGCTTGGTGCTTCTGATTGGTCCTGATCAGAATCTTCGGGTTGGGGCTCAGGTGCAGGATAATCGTTTACGTCGTCTATCTCTGCTTCACTGTCGGGATCATCATCCTCGGCATCGGCATCAGCATCATCGAACTCTGCATTTATTCTGACGCTCGAAGAGTTCCCTATTTCACTGTCTTGTTCGCCATTGGTGATAAGTAGCATAGGTGTGTCTTCTTCGTCTCCTAAGAAGTCGTCGTCATCGTCGTCGTCGTCTAGGTCTTCCTGATTATACGCAAGTCTGGCACGCTTCCGCGGAGGAAGAACAACGGGAGCTTGGCTACTGGAAACTTTCAGGCGACGGCGTCCAAAAGGGATACCGTCAATCAAATGTCTGCCATCGGATGATATCCTGTATCGGCCACTGATTCGACGTTGCTTATTGTCGTCTCGATCGAGGGCTCGGATGAAAACTCGGTCATCGGGTTTTAGGACAGATCGTACAGTTTGGAAGTGTAAGCATTCGAAGCTTGTGCCATCGTTGTCATGAAGTTCGACTACATAGTTCTCCAGCCCTTTCTGTTCGATCTCTAGAGGGAAGGTCTCATTCACCTTCTCCAGCAGCTTCGAGATAGTCGGATCGTTCTCTAGAGACACATTCCAAATGAGTCTTACTTCCGGATATCCATCCCTCCGCACGACAAGACGCAGACGCATATCCTTTTCACCCATGACAAAGTGTGCTCTTCACACAGGGGAGCGATATAAATATGGATGTGTGTACCAGGCCTTGACGACGGTTCGATAGGGAAGAGTTTAAATAGTTGTGGTGTTCATGAATATTGTTTCGTTATTAGAATTATTATTGAGGATCTCTTGATCCGAAGTAGGAGGTTCGTGTTAGAATGAAAAAGAGAAAAGTGACTTGATGCGTTGGCCTCATCACTCAAAATACCTACTTCGCGATTCACAATTCACGAAGGTAAAGGTTTAAATGTTCAGATTGAAGATCTCCAACTGGAAAACGCGTTGCGAGATGTCTTGGCATAATTTAATTTGGAGAGCTAGGGAATTGATGTGGGGCTGTCTCCGCTATGTAGGTACCTACGCTAATTACCTAGATATGTACCCGGTTACTGCACAGTTGGCGGGGCAGGCAGCGGGGTAGAGGTCCCCTAAGGGTGAGCGACCCAATAGATAAACGCTGATACATATTAGAGTGAATTTCTACAGGTCAGGGTCTCCCTACGCTATATTATATATGTATATCATTCCCGATGTCACGAAATAGTAGAATGAGAGGATAAATACATATATACTACCATGATACATACATGTATGTTGTCTAGGTTAAACATGTAAACTTAGATAATATTGTAAATATATGTACGTTACTGATGTTACTGACAGGAGTACGAAATTTGGTTCCGTATATAATTCTATCTGGCAAGAAATCAATGTCCCGCCCGATGTTGAGAATCTAAGTATCTTTCTATTGCCGTAGGGGTGGTGTAAGATATAGACACCACGCGCATTCTACTCGACCACCTTTTGAGAGAACCTCTGATATGTCTGTGTACGTGATTATCAGGGAGGTAACCCTCCCATATCAAGCATATGCCCCATCTTTTCAATCTATAGATGGATTTTTTAGTTATTAGTTGCGCAACGTTACTATACATGTCATAGAAAAGGGCATTCCATGAGAAAAGAAGACAAACTAAGACAAAACTCACCTTAGTCTTTAAGTACCCCTCCACCTCCCGACTCCTGAATCCCCCTTTACCTTTCCAACTCAGCGGTACCATCGCCACGCGCTCTGTCACTCTCACTTCCCTATTCGGACCCTCGACCGCCCGAATTTTATCTGGATTGTTCGTTAGTAAGCGGATCTCGCTCTGTCCTAGGTCGAGCAGCATCGCCGTCGCAAGCCCATAACTACGCGCATCTGCTGGGTGTCGCAGTAGCAAGTTCGCTTCCACCGTGTCAGATCCCAGATCCTGTAGATTATATGCTTTCAGTTTCTCGCCGAGCCCAATGCCACGACCTTCTTGTCGCAGATAGATGACAATGCCTCCGTTCACGGCGCTAGGTAGCGACATGAGACGTGCCGCCTCGTCTAACTGCTCCCCGCAATCGCATCGTGCAGACCACGCCGTCTCGCCAGTGTAACATTCCGAATGTATTCGAACAAGCGGAGGGCCATTAGGAACTGCTACCGGTTCGTCCGCAGCAGATGACGCACCACTTGCCATCCCGCTCTTCGTCCGTCCAGGGTAAAGGCGACCAGTATATGCGCCCCTTACCATTCGATCCATCTCTGTCTCCCCTTCCCTCGGCGCATCAAGTGACTGGCTTCTGATATGCGGGCCGAACACGATTGCAAGATGTTCTTTGTTATCGGCATTGTTGGTGTATAGATGTAAAAACATCTCCGTTCCGGCAACGGTGGGAATGCGAGCGCGTACAATGCATTGGACTTCAGGTAGGGTTTCGAGTAATTTAGGCCGTTTGGTACCGCAGCCGCCGGATGGGATGGAAGAATCTACGGGGACACCTCGAGGCTGTCGTTCGGCTAATGGAGTGGGTGTCACGGTACCGGGGGTAGCGGGAGGAGTGAAGGCGGGAGAGAGTAACGAGGAGGGCGGAGGTGGTTGAGTTGCATCGCTCGTGGAAGTTGAAGGGGTCGGAGGTGAAGAAGTAGATAGGCGGGCGGCGGAGGAGAGAGATAATTCGTCGCGATCTAATCTTGTGACGAGGGAACCTTCATTTTCCCGGGTCGGCCGAGATCGCGGAGAATAAAAAGACGGAAGATCAACGGTTTCCTCGGGTCCCTCTTGCTTCTGCCGATCTAACGGCTTCCGGGAACCTTCTACAGAAGATGAATCTGGGACGGGCATACCTTCATGCGAAATCAATTGGACTATGCTTTCGCACGATGAACGGCGAGACCGGCGAAAGAAAGAATTGAATATAGCCGCCGACGTACCGGGATCAGATGCCTGTGGTGGGGTACCTTAGATATGGCGTAATCCGTATTAGTACATTTAAACCTACTAGGTACGTATTCGGTTACAAAGGCGGGACGACAAAACGTTAAAAAGGAACAACGTGAACTGCGTGAGGGATAAAAAGCTTAAGCATGGAAGACACAGCAAATAGGTTGGAGCATTTAGTGTATCTGCTTCCTTGCTTAATAAGAAGGAGTAGCCTGATATTCACGATATGATATTATGCGTACCTACAAGCTTACGTCAATATGGACGGTGTATTAGTCACAAATACCAACATTTAACGGAACCTTTTTTAGTATTGTTACACAAAAGTTACCTACTAAATCTTTAGTAACCTCATACTCGTGACGTATTCCTGTAAGCTTTAGACATTGAATTTCGGAATACGCCGCTCTTTTTCTACAACGTTCCTTCATATGTAGGTACTTAGTACCTAGTAGGTAGGTACACGCTGCGCTGTGCAAATCGTGGCTACCCGCATAATGCATAAACCCAACATTCAATGTTAAATCAGGTACTTACCTAGTATTTAGAAGCTGCCCAACTGGAAGTCCCTGCCTCCAACACTTGCATAAGAAGAGACCGGCAAACGACCCGTTAGTGCCTTAGGTAGTAGGTGGGTACCTACCAGGTTGATGTCCAGACCTTCTCTTTAAACTCACCGTGACCAGTACCTTAGGTACTTAGGTAGTAAGGTAGTAAATTATTTCTTCTTCTTCGTTTCCAGTTACCTCTTTACCAATACCTATGTTATCACAAAATGCCTCCTCCAGGGCTAGTCAGTTCATATCAGCAATACAAAGAAGATACCGATAGTATTGCTGCTTGGCTTGCTTCAACAGCAAAATCATGCGGGTATCCATCTGACCTGTTGATCAATGGCCCTACCATCAAGGCCACATCAGCCCGACTGAAAGGCAAGGCGAGGGCAGAAGCCAAAAAGAAGCCATCCACTACTAAGCCATCTCCCGCCCACAAATATATAATCAAGATCAAGGATTTTGTACCCTTGGCTGAGTTCGTCGCATCTAAACGTGATGTATCTATTTCGAACTCTTTCATGGCAACTTTACGCCGAGTCATCATAGCTCGTGGTGGCTTTGGTGAGAAGCTTGCCGAACAAGGATCGGTTCCAGATGAGCTATCAGATGCCAAGCATGGATACTTCGTGGGAATTCTTGAGAAAGTCTTCGAAGTCTTAAAGCCACGAGTGAAAACTAAGGAGACAGCCCCTTCCCCTGTTCCCTCTAGCGACGAGCCCGGCGTGAGTGACTTCGTCAACCAATTCGCCTCTCTACAAGTCTATGAGCCTTCGGATGACTTCCTCAACGCCCCAGACTTGGAGAGACCGAAACCGCTAGAAGGTGACAAGATAGCATACGAAGCGGAGCCGGCCGACTCTTTAGAGGATTTATTCGTTGCTTTGACGATGTTGATCAACGATGTCAACAAGATCCGATCGCGCATTGAATGGATCTGGACTAACTATAGAGATGGATTCTTTGACCTCGCTGCTGCTGCTGTTGCCACCAACACCGCAATCGACTTGGCAAGGCACCTCAGTAAGTCATACACCAGAGTGATCCCTTCGATTTGCCGTCGTTGAAGCATCAATCTTAACTTTCAACCTTCTAAATCAGATAGATGCTAACTATGTCATAGCTGACGATGTTGAGCCATTATTCAAGGACCACGGTGGATTATGGAAAGTCCTAAACAAGTGGTACCTAGTCCAGATGCTGATGAAGGGATACGATGTTTCCGATATTTTCAACGAGGATAGCGCGGACAATTTTAACTACGATACATACGACATTGCGGATGGCACCTACATATTAACGTGTAGACTCGTAAGTGCCTTCATCCCCGTCATACAACCCGATAACATTCCGTTATATAAGGACGGCATGTTTGGCTACTACGACCCTCAAAGCGATCGAGCCTCCAAGACCGGGTACCAGAAATTCGAGGAGGATCGCATTCTGCTTATGACAATTTTTGGAGAGCATATGGCGGTGGTCCGTGGCGTTGCAAATTATCCGGTTGAGGATGAATTCTTGCGTGGGATCCAGGAACTGACCAACACAAGGGAAATCTCGTTCTGTCTTGTCTTCGCTGCTCAAATATTTCTCGACATTCACTATATCCTCCGCGAACACGCCGGGAAGTGCTTAGAAACGCTCCAGAAGAACCTCAAATTCTTTGATCGGGAAATCGAAGAATACTTCAAATTTCATAAAAACTTGAAGATCGAGAACTGGCCCGCTAGTAATGATCACATGCTACGAGAATATCAACGCAAGATAAAATGGGTGCTGGACGACCCCGGATATAAGGTAAAGGCCAAAGCATATGAGAAACTAAGTGGACATGCTCCATTGTCTATGGAAAAGAACCTCTTGTTAAAGACGTCGCCGATTCTCAGTGGTCTAATGCTTTACCACTTCCGCTCCGAGATATGGGATATCGGTATCGCGCTTGCAAATGCATGGGGTTCAATCACCTATTCATTACATCTGTACAATGCGCTACGGAGCGCAAACCTCCTAACGAGAACTTGGAAAGACATGGATCTCGTGAGGACCCTGTTAGGGGACTCATCCTTCTTCGTGGGGGATGCACCGAAAACTCTGAGTCAATCTATGAAAAAGTTTTGCCTCCAAATGGGCACAACCATGGCTGTGTTCACTAACAAGCGTCGTGGAAAGGTGTCCCTGGAGTCTCGAGCAGGACCTCGAGGAATCAAAGATGGCGCCCCTGTCTCCTCAATGTTTATGGATCGTTATCTTCGAGGAAAAGGGCAAGTCGATTGGAGTCCAGAGCACGTTGCCAAAATCGTCGACCTTGGCTTGTGGGAGACAGAAGGCTCGGAAGAAGAGGGCACCCTTATGTTAGGGCAGATCGACGACCCCGAGAAGATAAAGCAGAAAGCCAAGGCAAAACACGGAAAGGGCTCAGAGAAGACAAACCTATCACCAGATCAGCTAATTAGGGCACTCATGTTTTCGCTACAAGGAGAAACGCTCGAGTTATCGCTGCCGTACATCTCGATGCATCGTGAATGTTGGTCATTCCTGAGAGCGGTTCAGAAGCACTGCGACCCCCTGCTCCGACAAATCTATACCGCGGCATACATCGAGCGAGAGGCACAGCTTTGCTGGGTCGTGGGCTGGATATTTTTCGAGCATCTAAAAGTCGGCACCGCAACACTTCTAGTAGAAGCTCAGGGAACCGTCGATGAATTTATACGCACAGAAGGCACGACAGTTTTGGGCTTGTTAGATAAACTGGGCATGCCAATTGAGTTTAAAACACAAGGGGGAGCACAGACAGCTTGACAGCTACGAGTTTGATATCTAGGTGTGTGCTATTTGAGAACAAAAGAGCTAGACAAACGTCTTAACCCTATAAACGTCAAATATGTACCTAGATATGTAGGTATATGTGCAGTAAAACCAGAAGATCTTCGAAGGATAATGGTAAGATAGAGGATCACGACCGCTGTTGCTTTATTGGAGGAAGAAGTCTTAGGTCGGTTCATTGGTGCATCTCAAAATAGGCACTCTACGCATATTGATGATTATTCCCGGTCCACAAGTAGAGGCTATTTCGAAGTTTATTCGCTACCTTTTGTTTCTTTCTAAGGTTCCTTCTTTGATCTCCGGGGATATCCTCTGCTACCCACATTAACAGTTTCCCGCGGGGTTGATAGGTAGCCATTCCGCGGGGAAGTGATCTCCAACTCATCCAGTGGCACGATACTCGTTTATAGAGTAGATTAGGTAGGTGTTCAATAGATACCTAACCTAAATATCTTAACCATCTCTTCATATCGGAAGCATTGTATTTATCATTTCATTGTCTCTGCTTAAAAATATTAGCACCTCCTCCTCAATATTGAGGTAATTTGGCAGATATGGCGCCAGGAATCGTAGAGAACGAACAAATCCCCAGCGACTCCGACGCTTCGGCTCTAGCGAGCGAGGCCGACTTAGGCCCCAAGCTCTACGCCAACGTAGATCAAGACGAGCTCCAAAAGAAGACATCGCGGTTCCTGTTCAATTACGGGACCAAATTCATACCAGATATCGTCTGCGGTGCCAAGGGCCTATATGTTTATACGGCAAAGGGTCACAAGGTGCTTGACTGGACGTCCGGTCAGATGTCTTGCCTGTTAGGACACGGCCACCCCGAGATCGTCAAGACGATAACAGATCATGCAGCAAATCTCGACCATCTTTTCTCCGGCATGGTCTCCCCTCCCGTTATTTTCCTAGGCGAGAGACTGTGCTCGTTACTTCCGGATGGCTTGGATAAGGCTTTCTTCCTTTCTACTGGGGTAAAGAAACCCTCTTCTCGAGCCTTAAGTGCGCCTGTCTCGCTAATACTGACCTATGTCCCAGGGAGAATCCAACGAAGCAGCGATTAAACTTGCAAAGGTGTATACAGGCAAATTCGAAATCGTGGCCATAAACGGGTCCTGGCATGGAGTAACGGCCCAGGCTCTCAGTGCCCAATACCATTACGGAAGAAAAGGCCAAGGGCCCCTTATGCCAGGCATGCACATGCTACCAGCCCCTAATGCGTACCGGTCTATTTTTCGAAAGCCGGATGGCTCGTACGACTGGGAGACCGAGCTCGACTATGGATGGAGTCTGATTGACCAAGCATCGTGTGGATCACTCGCCGCCGTCATAGTAGAGTGCATCCAATCATCGGCAGGCATACACGTTCTCCCCACCGGCTACCTCAAGGCGCTAAAAAAGCATTGCGAGTGCAGAGGCATGCTTCTAATCGTCGACGAAGCGCAGACAGGAGTTGGACGGTGCGGCGATATGATGGCGATCCTGCACGAGGGTGTTACGCCCGACATCTTAACACTGAGCAAAACTCTTGGAAACGGCCTCCCTTTAAGTGCCGTGGTTACTAGTGCTGAAATCGAAAAAGTCTGTGTGGAGAGGGACTATTGCTTCTACACAACTCACGTGAACGACCCTCTACCCGCGGCAGTAGGTAACAAGGTCCTGGAGATCGTTGTTCGCGATAACTTGGTCGAGCACTCCAGGTCTATGGGGAAGCTTCTGCACGAAGGACTTCGGCAATTGCAGTCCCGGTACGGGTGCATCGGAGACGTTCGCGGGAGGGGGTTAATGGCTGGTGTCGAGATTGTAACTGACCGCGAAACGAAGACACCTGGAGTGGAGTTGGCAAGCTCCATAGCTGAGATGGCATACAAGCTTGGGGTTTGGGCTAATCTCAGTAGTCATGGGAGCTTTGGTGGTGTTTTTAGGATAGCGCCCCCTATCACAGTGACAGAGGCGCAGGTTCGTGAGGGACTTGAAGTGCTAGAACAAGCGTTCGCCTCGAGCCTAGGGTCCATGCCAATGTATTAAGGACTGCGCGTAGGTAGGTACCTACCTAGTAGATAGTCAATCATGCATACATCATGAAGTTTAGACTATCTTCTTGTCAAGTTATCTATAAATCATGGAATTCCTATTCTGTACACACCTTGGACTTTGTTGCCAAGACTTAAGGGGGGTGGGGGCAGGGGATGCGGATTTTATTCCGCGGAAAACTTCCAAGACTGCAAGATTAATTTGGGGAATCTCCGCAAATCGGAAGAGTTACTGGGTACTACCTAGCAGCCTATGTACTACATTTATTAGGTATATGTACCTATGTACAGGGCTGTTCGTAGCGCTGAACCAGCGTCACGCTCGAGTCTTCTGTTTCCTATGAATCATATTAATGAATCAGAAAATTACCTAGGCATTCATGGGACGTCTAACTATTATCATACGATCGCATACCTAATTACCTACCTACTTAGGTAATATAGGGGAATACACTAGCAGGAGCCAGGAAGTAAGAATTACCTAAACATCATATGTTCAAAAATTCCGTTGTCTGTATCATCGACGCCCGGCCTCCATTACTATTATTTCCCGCGGACAAGCACAGACCGTTTACATGCAGTCGCCGGGTTCACAAGATCGACCTTACAGGTCTCATTTACGGCCCGCGTGTCTTCCTTGTCGGAAAAGGAAATCTCGCTGCAAGATCGAGGCTCAGTCGTTGTCATGCTTAATGTGCCGGGCACATGGGACCGAATGCGAATTCCCGACTAAACCACAATCGAGTTCTATTCAGGGAAAGATTAATAAGGGTCAAAAGGTCCAGGCTCGGGAACGAACGGTCTCCGAGAATGCGCCACGGCGTCCGCCCCATCTAACCCTTTATGACCATGAGGGGATAGCAGACGGACGTCCGGCCATTATCAATGACCCTAATAGTGTCGTACTCGATACTCCGTGGGATGGGATGAATACTCCCAAAGCCCATCCTACTATTCACCATGGACCTGATGAGTCTCAGCAGACACCTCTATCAATCGAGGACACGGAGAATGAAAATCCTCACATCATCAGCCCTGCGATGACAAGCGACAGTCAGGTGTTAACAGACTATTTATCGACTATGGGCAGTGATGGGTGTGGCATACGCCTGATACGTCCACAACGTCCAAAACAGGCAAATGGGACTAGGCAAGTCCTGTTCACTGCCGTGCAGAAACGCCCCGTGGGGCTTACCATTAGTCCCAGCCCATCACACACGAAGTGTGAAATCATTGAAAAATTGCTTGGGCCGTGGACAGAGAAAATGGTTGACTTGTAAGTCAAGTCATCCCATTAAGCCGTTGCCGGCTCCATGGGTGCCTGCCTAGGTACCTAGTAGGTAATAGGTATAATACTGATCGGTACCTTACATGACCCTATAGGTTTTTTGAGAGGGCGAACATATGTTTCCCCTTATTAGATGAGGCATCGTTCCGAAGCCGATACGCAACCGCCAAGGATCGCGTGTCGCCAGCCCTTCTCGCGTGTCTCTATGCTAATAGCTTGATATACTGGAGATATGAACCTCAGCTCACAGGACAGAGACCTCCCGATATTCGGTTCATTTGGAATCTCGCCAGTGAGGCTGCTCAGTCTGAACTATTTCTCTCGCCGGGCATGTCTACAATCACTGCAGTGTTACTAGATGTAGGGGGGCGACCAACAACAGCCCTAGTAGGGAATGGCGTCCGGCTCGGTAGTGCCATATCTCTAGCGTATTCCTTGGGCTTGAATCATGATCCATTATCCTGGGATATATCGAGCTCTGAGAAGATGCTACGAATGCATATCTGGTGGTCGCTACTGATCCATGACAGATGGTAGGTCCTCTTACATAAGAGCATCGACATCCTGATATAGTACCTAGTAATACTCATCGTCGTAGGTCAAGCTTAGCCTATGGCACGCCACCCCACATACAAAGGTCCTTTTATGATGTTCCCCAACCAAAAATGGAATATCAGCTTAACAAATCCGACTCTCCGAGGCGCCTGGGCGCGATGGGGATTTTCGTCGCTCTTTCAAGATTAACCAATATTTTAGATTACTATCTCCAATACCTCTATCAAGTAGACAAGGATGCCGATACTCTAGTGACAAACCTGGAGCTTCGCCTTAACAGATGGGTTGAAAGCTTGGAAGATGGCGCCCGTCAGGTAATAACCCGTGGCGCTTCGTTACATATCCCCGGCGCACCTAATCTACGACTGGCGTATCTCTCTATTCAATTGCTTACCCATCGCATCCGGATGGAAAACACTCGGTCTAGGACCGAGGTAGACGAAGACGACCTAGCTAATCAGTATATACAAATTCGCCGGACGGCAGAGAATATCCTATGTTTGGTCCAGGAACTCCAAGAAGAGCACTTAGGAGATTTCTGGTTGCCGATCAGCGCGTTTACTTTTCCGTCAACGGTCACTTTTCTCCTTCGCTGTGCGCTTGAAACCGGGAAATCGCCAAAGGATCTAGCGGAAAGTAGTTCTTTCAAACTAGCGCGGGATTTAGTCACAGCATTGCGTCGCCATAGGGATAATTCGGGTTGGGATCTAGGCGATATCTGCTTGGCGCAACATGCTGAAGTTATCGAAAAGCTTGCATCGCCAGTACAGGCTGTCGAAGACAGTGCTAGCATCACAAGCTTTGGGGATTTGATGATACCGGATGATCTGTTCATTGATGATTTTAACGATATATTTAGTGGTTTCTAGGCAAATTTCCAAGAAAGTGTATCTAGTAAGTACTAACCTACCTAGGCACATGTTCTATCATTGGAAGGCAATGCTAACTTTCTGTCTCCTTGATGAAAGGAGGACGTTGTATAGGTATGAATAAGTACCTAATTTCAATCCCGGTAGACAGGTAGTCTGACGTGTTGATTTTTGTAAGTAGTATAGGTTATAACAAAACCTCAGATTCCTATAATGTATGCCAGGCCCTCTCATTGGCGAGGAACATTTAAAGATAGAAAAACAACGACCCATGCGAGCCCAACAGATTAAGAGAACCGTAATATAGATCATCTGTTCGCATCCAGTCTGACTACAAAACGAGGGAGTCAAAAATCAAAACATGTCCTTCTATTTGCGGTTCGCTGCAAAAGCATCCTCCTTAATACTCTGAAGTATTTCGACGAAACGAGCAGGCTGTGAGAGAAAGGAAGTATGCCCGGCATCAATTTTAAATACGGTGCATCCAGGAATGGCACTAGCGACGGTTTGTTGTAGTTCTGGCGGTACGGTTTCATCCTGCTCGTTGAGGATGTAGTAATATGGCAAATCGACATCGGTTACGAGATAGTTGGTTGGAGTCTCGATGGCTTCTTGAGAGTGAGGCACAAGGGTATTCCATAATTCCTCTGCCTTGTTGTCGTCGAAGTCGTTGTAGAATGAATGCTTGCTAATTCTTGCAGGGTGGATGAGATGTCCCTAAGTCATTATTCTTATTAATATCTGCTGGGTTGGTGCAGAGATGAAAAGGTACGTAGAAATAAGGCACATACCTTTTCCCCTTGGGGACCGTGCTCGAAGAAAGACGGATACTCATGCTGTTGGCCTTCCACGAAGACACCGACTGCCGTGCTTCCTCGAACCAGGGGAGCTGGTCCGGCGTTGAATACAACGGCACGTATGCCGCCCTTCTTACCAGCGGCCGCGCGTTGCTCGACAGTCCAGCCTTCGGTGGCTGCGAACCCCGGAAACCCTCCATACGAATGACCCACGACGATAAATTCTGTCCCGGCGTCGACGTAGGGAGTCATCTGCGCCCGCAACGCCTCAACGTCGTCCCATAGCGTCTTTCCTCTGCTGTTGTTACCTAGCGACGGATGCGCCGACACCAGTACCGGGTCGAATACATTGGCATCCTCAAGCCTCTGCTTGACGGCGTCGAAGAAGTGGGCCGAATGAAATGCACCTCCAGAAAATATGACACCTGGTTTAGGCGAATCAGACATTGTTACCCGGACGTATCGTCGTGGTTCTATTTGGGTAGGTAGGTAGGTAGTAGAGGTAGATCTACAGAGTAGAAAGATGACATATGCAGGCAGGCAGGCAGGCAGGCAGGCTGGTAGTTACATAGTATAAAGGGGTTTGTGCCGCTTCTTATGTATTAGCCATCGATTTAGTTATGCAGGAGGGTGTCGATTATCGCACCTGGCGATCTCGGATAGCAGTAACTGGGCTGCTGGGTTTCTGTTCTTCCCCCCTCGCGTAGATGTCCTTAAGCAGTGATGATCATGCATGGTACTTCGACGTGCACCAACGTGAAACGTCAGCTTTGCGTCGACAAATGTTTTTCGATAAATACCTAATCCGTAACGTATATGTCAGACCAATAATATGATCCACGGGGTTCTTAAATTATAGAATAGCCTCACACGGGATGTAGATAAGGGAGCTTGCCAATCGGATAATTGAGACCGTTACCCAGCTTTAGCTCTCACCGTCCAACCTCACCGGCATCCAGGTAAGTCTATCCAGTACTTCAGGGTTATGGATTTGAATTTCTTGCGAAACTCGCATATATCATATAATTTTCTTTTCTCCGCATAAACACCCCAGCTTCGTCAGTTTAGTTGAGCTTTACCATGTATTCAGCTGTGTTGGTTAACGAGAGGCCCCTGCCCATATGTGATAGATCATCTACAGAAATCTATGATTATAATACGGTTACGACCCGAGTAAGAGATTTTTTAAAATATGGAGAAGATCCTTCTATGCTACAGGTGATCTTACACTTTCATTACTCGTCCCCTTTGCCAAAGCTCGAGACGTCAAGAGATACATACCTCCTACTAGATACCTAGGTAGGTAACTTTCTTGTCAGTTGTTGACTTGAGGTAGAAAGGAGTATATCGAGAAGCAGGCGTGGAGTATGTATTTTATTCTACATTGAAGTTTATGACTTTAAAATACCCATTCAACTTTGTTTCTGTATGTTGCTATGTGTGGTACGCAAGCAGACCTGAAGTTGGATCACTCCAATACTGGTCCAGTTTTTCTTATACCAACCATTATCTTAAACGTTCTTTCTACCATATTCGTTGGATTGCGACTTTATGCGCGGCGATTCAAAGGTCTTAGGCTCCAATTCGATGACTGGATAGTCGTCGTCGCTTTGGTATGTCATCTACTGACTTCGCCCCTATTGTGCCATCCGTTACTAATCAAGGCTGATTCTAAGTTTTTCAACCATGCCCAACTCATCGATGAAGGAATTAGTAAGTCTCTCACGACATTACGACGATGTAAGTCGATTATAGCGGAATCTAACCAGGATGCCTAGTGGTAAAATATGGCTTAGGTATCAATGGCGAGATAGTCGCCGCCACTTACCCTGGTGGCGTCTCAAATTTCTTGGAGGTTCGTCAATTCCTTCCGAAAGAAAAGAAAATTTCCATGTCTTCTGTAAATCATATACTAATTCGGGGGAACTATTGATGCAGGCTTTCTTTTTTGTGCAGCTGATTTATTCCTGCCTGTCACCTCTGGCTAAGATTTCGCTTCTCGCCCTTTATTACCGCACCTTCTTCGTTTCTCGTACCCTGCGGATATCCGTTTGGATTATGACTGCCCTTATTATCTCTTGGGGGATCAGCGTTTTCGTCACTAGTATCTTCACCTGCAATCCTATCCGTGGATTCTGGGATCTGTCGATCGGGGCAAAATGCATCGACAGCGCGTTATTCTTCGAAGCCATCACGATACCCAATATTATTCTTGATTTAGGAACTGTGATCTTACCGATTCGTGAAGTGTGGAAGCTACATATGGGTAGAGATAGGAAGCTTGCTTTGACTGCAATATTCACTGTCGGTAGCGTGTGAGTTGATGATAGCGAAACTTGACGTCTTAGACGATACTAAACACACCTACCATTTATAGTGTTGTCCTTGCTGCCATAGCTCGTCTTATCACAGTAAAGCTTTACCAGCCTGCCGGCGGGTCCCTAAATACGACTCGTAAGTTAGCATATTACCTTCATTCCTAAATGCTAATATAAGAATACTAGGTACGTATTTAGATGTTAGCCGCGTACTAACTAATTCTTCCCCTGTTCTTAGAAGCACTCGTGCCCGCCTTACTTGCGACGTCATTCGAAGTAAACTTTGCCATATTTGGAGCCTGTCTTCCACCTATAATACCCCTTTGGAGACATTGGTTTGGCCAAAATAATGACACGTCCAATAGCTCAAAGTCCACTCCACCATTCCATAGCATCATCACGATTGGCCAGCGTTCTAATCGGCAACCCCGCAAGCTAGATATGACATTCGAGATGTTGGAAGAGGAGGACTCTAGGGAAAATTTGACTCAAACTCATACGGTCTCAGGGACCGAAGGTATCGCTTTAACGACAGTATCTGCGAGAGAGTGGCCACAAGGCAGCCAACGCCAAATTCATACACATTCTTGATCAATACCTATTCTATTTCACTTTTATGATAACCGTGGAGATTGGCTGGAAATACTAGGGCTTGTGCCTGTATTCTTGATAAACATATGCGTCAAAACAACATCATGGGAAATGAAACGGAAGGATTAGCGAGTTGATTGACTGTAGATTAACGAAGGTTATATAGGTAAACATGTTAAATTATGCCCTGAGCGCCAAGATGAATATACTTGGTTGTACAAACAAACACGCTGAGATCCTACAAGATTACGATCGTGAGCATGAAGATCGATGTTCATAATGTTCCAGGACATCCCCCCTTTTTAACATGAATGCCTATATATCGTAGACTACGTTAGGTAGTTCGAGCGTACGATCCAAATATACCTATTAGGGTTTTGGGGGAAATTTGAATCCGCGGTTACTGGTTGTCATGGTACCTAGCCGGGGCCAACCCCCCCGAGAACTGCGGTACAAGAGGTAGAGGCAATAAAAAGGAGGAGATAGGAGAAGCTAAGGTTGAAATTAGGGGAAGGGGTGGTTTTTTTGATTGCCATCGGGATCTGGGGTTTACACTACTAATCTAACCTTAAGCTTGTCTCCTTCCACGATCTCAGCTTTCCGGTCGATCACCTCGCTCATATCCCATGTAGAGCTAATATACCTTCCGGCCAACCATTCACGACGCTCGTTCGAGAGCCACGCGACTGTGTCTCCAGCTAAATCGATACTATCACTAAGACCTGGAAGGGTCTCAGGCGGCATGCCTTTCTTAGCCAATTCCGTGAGAATCGCACCGGGATGAACAGAATAGGCCAGCAGTCCCTTGCTCCCTGCCTCAACCATCAGAAACTCGGTGAACCTCAACACCGCCAATTTTGATGTCCCATATGCGGAAGCCATTGGCCTAAGGTTGTGCGCGGCAACGCTGTTGACATTGATCATCGTCCTCAAGCCATCTGGTGTTGAGAGAAGTAGGGGAACAAAGTGCTTGCTCATGAGATACACTCCTTTCAGATTTACCTCCATCGTTCGCCACCAGGAGTCAGCGTCGGACTCAGAGACGGAGAGAGCAGGAGTCATAAAACCAGCATTGTTCACGAGGATATCAAGTTTACCCTTGAATTCCCTCTCAATCATCTTAGCACATTGACGCGTACTGTCTTCATCCGTCACGTCAAGTTTAGTCATCATCACCTGTGGGACACCGTACCCCTTTTCCTTTGCGGCTGTGGCGATATCACTAGCAATCTGCTGAAAAGACTCAGATATGTCTGCCACGGCAATGGCCGAAGCCCCTGCTCTAGCAAAGGAGAGGGCAATACTCCGTCCGATACCTCTAGCACCACCTGTGATCAGGACATGATGGCCCGCATGCTTAGCAGTTCTAATAAAGGGATACGAAGACCCGTGAATTATGGAAGTGAATGTTGCCCCTATAAGTTGTGTCAGGAAAAAATACATCGCGCTCGGGTAGAATTGCTTGAACTTACCATTTTCAGGCGCAGCTGAAGGGTAGGAAGCCATTATAAGTCGCGGAACCCTACGATTAGTACCTAGGTAGGTAGGTACTTGATTGAAAATTCGATCGCTAGAAATCTAGAAGGGTGGATGGGTTATTCTACATCTTAAAGATACGATATTCAAACCATACTTGCCTATCCCCGTAAAGTAGTAATGCAACACAGTTGAATGCCATTGGTTGAATAGTCGCAACTCATGCCACGAAAGCATGTGATGTTAGTCTTGTACTATTTCCAGTTCGCAGTTAAGGAGATAGGCTTGCTTTAGCATCGGGTAGATCAATTAAGTCCGAACGGCGTTAAGTCAATTCGCGCACTGCTAAATTGTAAATATCCCGTCGTAGCCGAGTCCACTGCAACAATAAATACTAGGTACCTACCCTGCTACCTAGGTGGGTAGCCACGGATATTACCTTAGAAGTCATCCACAAGTGAAAGAAGAATGTTGGAACATGTTCAACTTAAAGGGGGTATAAGGCTATGTTCTTAAGATGCTCTATGGGATCTAATATGTCATGAACTTTGTCTCGCCTCTGACTACGAGGCGGACAATACAAACCACGGCTCCAGTCCTATGTGGCTTGTAAGAGTCAGGGTGACCTGCCAATCTCTTATAATTTGCATGCGCATCCTCCTTCTCTCAAAACCGACGGATGCTTTTTTTCTTTAACATGCTGTTTGCTGGCCGAGCCCTTGTTAGGAGCAGGCTTAATTAGATAGGTACTTGTGGGTATTCCTGTAAAAGCAAAATTGCGAAAAAAAAAAATCAGATTAACGATGACGAAAGCAAAACAATGCGTGCAGACTAGGGGCGGGAGTCCGTCCCCTTTGAACCGAATAATGCCAGGTCAAAAAAGCCAAGTGCTCAGCCTTTATTTCGCTGGCTAACAAGTATAACGTGCCGACAGGATGGGAGTCGGAGTAATAAATAGAAAGGCGCCATTCTTTTTGTCTTTCCAGTCCAGAAACCCCATTTTCTCGTCGCCGGAATATGCTCTGTCCATTTTGTCCGTCAAGATCGGCGAAGAGATAAGAGGTAAGATGTATCTTTGGGGGTCCGATCGGACGGATGAGGAGTTTTTTGGGGCGCCCTGGCACGCATAATAGTCGAACTCCTAATCTTTTCCAAGGAAGAGGGGTCTTAAAGAAGGCCCGAGAGTGAGAGAGGGAGAAGTAGGTGAATAATAATAAAACGAAGAAAGACAGACATGATAGACCGGGAGAAGATCAACAAAACGCACACTCATGCACAGACTCAAAACAAAACCAAACACCAAGACCAATACCGTGTACGACCGATTAAAAGGATCTCTCACCTCCCGACTTCTCATCAAAATAAGCTTCTCAGAGGGGTGGGGGAGTGGAGGGAAGGATGACCGCGCAAATTAAACCGGGGGAATTCAATGGCTGGTTCGCCACGCGGATGCGGATTGACGAGGAGGGCGGCAATGGATCGACGGGGGATTGTAGCTGAGCCGCCATGCATATATGGAAAGGGCGCCGAGGAAGAAGTCCAAGTGGCTGCACACCCGTGGACATACGTCCTCGCGCAACCCACCAAGCCGGCAACACGAAGCGCCATACATCGAAAAGGCTTGCTCCATAATCTGGCTCCGTACCAGTTAATCTTGTCCTCTATCCATTCGGATCAATATTCAATAAACCAGCATCCGGATTTCCGGAACACGAGAGTAGGGTCGAGGCAGGAGAGATAGATATTCGTCCGAGTTCGAATTAGGCTGAAGGTGTTCCCGGTCGTAAATCCCAAGAGCTAAGTAGATTTTTAGGAAGGTCGAAGTAAGGAGGCGTTCATCGAGGCGTTCGTCCACCACAAGGAACACCCGATGCATGCAAGATGAAATGACTCGCATAATCGGATGGGGGTGAGTGGATGTGTGGAGGAGGAAAATCTACTACGTTGTAGGTACCGAGGTATGATGGGGTAGCTAAGAAGAAAAGAACGAGATGACGGGATATTAGGTAGGGACTTGGGAATAGAGAGAAAGAAAAAGTCATGTTCCCTCCCAAGGTAGAGGACTCTCTCCCTTCCATCGCTCGGGCAAACGAAAAAAAATATGTTTTTAAAAAAGAGCCAACAAAAAACAAGCTACCAGATGTTCGCCTTGTTTCTGGTAGTAGGGATTTGTTGCGTCAAGGGAATTCGTACAATGCTAACTGACTTCCACTGTGAGCTGGCCATGATTTATTGGCCCCTCTCCCCACCCCTTGGACATACGTCGCACCGCATGCCGCCATCACCCGGCTGTTCAGCCAACCGGGCACGCTCAAATATAGGGCGGCAGATTCTTATCCCCCACGGAGGTTTCCCGCAGATCGCCGGTGAGTGTCCGTGTGCATATGGGATGACACGCTACTGCCACTCCCTCGGTCAGACGACGTGGGAGCTCCATCCAATATGCTGCTATGAGACGAGTAGCTCTGCGAGGATGATACGTGCGAGTCGGGCACGTAGATGTGGCCATTCGGTAACACCGAGCTACTGCTCGCTCCGCCGCTCGAATGGGAGTCCCTTCGAGGTCCGTCCGGCTTATCGCTATAGATATAGCTCAGGTTCGAGTTGGTGTCCTCGGTCGACCGGAGCGGGTGGTCGCTGGGTGAGTATATGTTGTCTGTGGCGGCCGTCGCACTTGACTGGTAAGCGGCGCCGTCGTGCTGCCCGCCCAATCTATGTGAGATGCTCGGCGGAACTGATGTAGGGGCTGTGGAGTATGACTGGTCGAAGCTGGAGCTTAGCCCGCCGTAGCCAACTTCAGGTAATGAACTTGTCGGGGAAGTCTTCGAGTTGCTATAGGGCGGCAGGCCGTCTGCACGATAGCTTGAAGAGCCCGTCAAGGTTCGATTAACTTGAGGCAGGAGGCGGTCCGATGGCACGACTCGGTCGGTGGCCGATGGTAGAGAAGTTGCCATTCCGGAAAGCGAGAAACCTGTAGGAGATTCGCTGCTCACTGCCGGACGATGCACCAAGCTGCTATAAGAGTAAGGGGTCGTTTCAGAATCCACGTAGACGGACTTCCCGGAACCGTACCGTCCATAACCTTGCACCATATGAGTCGCATCTTGACCAAGAACTGGGTAGGGGTAGTTGAGACCGTAGTCCACTTCGTCCTGATATCCGTTCGTCCACCCCGATATGGTAGAAATATACCCCTTGCTGCTGTACGGGTACTGGTTTTGACGGTACGAAGTTATAACATCTCCGCCGGATATGTCTGCGTTATATTGCGGGATGGGACTCAGCTGTGACACTGACACGCGGGATTGGTTGCTATACGTCCGGGCCGCGTCGAGATTATATCCGAAATCGTTCCCATCGTTCCTAAGATGAGTCACGGTCGAAGCAACCTGGAGAATTATCAGATGGTTAGAAAATATGACTCCATTTCTTCTTCTCCTCTTTCTTGTCTTCTTAATAAATCTAGCAGAGAATTACCCGTAAAAAAAGACAAGGCTCATGGGACGCGTTCTTGCAGTTCGTGCATGGGAGACCGTTCCCCGGGTCGCCGCTACATCGGATCTTGCGTTTGCGACAGCGGCCGCACTTTATCGGTGGTTTCAAGTCAGCGTTCAACGAGTTCCTTTCATCGTCGAAGATCAATGGGCAATGGGTAATAGGCAATGAGCAATGGGCAATGGGCGACGAGCAACGAGCAATGGGTTATGGGAGTCGAAGCAAGGGATGGCAAAAGGGGTCGGGATCTCTCCAACTTACTGCCACTGCGATCCTCTTACGAGGTTGGGAATCCGAGTCGAAATCGCGGTCCATCATGGTAGTGGTTCGCCCTTCTTGGGAGGAAAGATGAAAGCGGCGGTCTGAGTAAGATATGGGATACGGAGGACAAGCACGACTATATCGTCTACCAGCATCGCTGGAAGGAAAACAGGCGGGAGTCACCATTGTCCTGATTTGAGGGTTTTGCCACTACTCGAATTTTTGCGCGGCCAGGTGCGTGAGAGACAAGGTCAGTGTTCAGTTCGTCCCCGTCCTATCGGAATTGTGACAACGGTGAGGGGCCCTTGTTTTGCTCTGCGACTGCAGGAGGGAGATTGGTGAAGAAGAACAATGAACCCTTTCTGTAAAAAAAGAGGAACAGGGGGCCAGGCTGTCCGACAGTTGGTTTCTTGCTATCCTAATTTTTTTTCAGCCCTGAAAATCTTAGCTTGAGGAAAAGGTTCGAGCTTCGATGGGTCTCTCTCGTCTTGTCAGACTCTGATGTTTCATCAGAAGAAGGAAAAGAGCCGATCAAACTTGACAGTTTGTAAGAGACGAGTAGGAGACGAAGAGGAAACGAGGAAACGATTCCCCTCACGCAGTTAGTAAGGAGACTGAAGAGGAAATTTGAGAGGCTGCAAGTTTCGTGACTGTTATAACTCGGTACCACACTTTCTCAGCGGGCAAGCCTCAACGTTGATGTTTGTAACTACCTGGTAAGTTCGACTAGGTTCAAGGAGGACCGTTCAAGGTAGAGGTCTGTTGAGAACTTGTCATCTTCCTCTTCGTTCATGACACGGCAGGTGTCACGTCGAGAACGTCCATAAGTGTGAGGTCGAATAAGTTAGCCGCGTTACACAAGCCCAAGGGTATACCAAGTCAAGAGACGGTTAGATGCATGGCGACCGCATAATGAGAGAAGTGTACTAGGTACCTAAGTTGGCCATGTGTACGCTAGATGTTAGATGGGCCAGATGGAGTTGGGGATGGGGATGGGAATTGGACTTGCAATGTAGGCCAACGTGCTTCGTTTCACTCTGAAATACAGGAGGAGAGGAGCCCACGCAAACAGCCTAGCCCGCCTATAAGGCCAGGTGGTAAGGGGGCAAAGGGGGTAAGAGTATAAGGTAGGTGGGAGGGCTTGAGAGAGCCGTGGCGATCATCCTAGGGGGCGATCCAGAGCTGGAGCTTGGTGAGCGGCCAATCTCGATTCAATCTATATAGATGATGTAGAGAACCAGCTAGACCTCATATCGACTGAGACCGGCATATTTTATTCATACTAGAACTAGATTACTCTAAGATGCCGTTCCATATATTTACGGCTACCATCCAAGTGCTTTTGGAGGCACATCCTCAGAATTGGGTATAGTTAGCCTAACTATGTCTAATAACTACTTTCGTTATGTTTACCTTTTTTTTCACTTTTGTATATCGCTCATGTTTCCCAACTTCGAAGATGCTCGGAAATAAAAACAAGTCGAGTTTCAAAAGACATAAATTGGAAAATACCAATCGCACACACGCCACCTCCCAGATAGCACTGACGCTGTGTGATTTACCTAGTTAGAGTCATTCTCACACCCAGCCAACCTATCTCCTGTGCGGAAGACAGGAAACGGAGAGCAGGTAACGAGAAGCTCAACTAACTTGTCTAAAGAGATCGCGGGAGATTTGCCAGAGCAAACACAAGCAGGTTACTTTTGGCCAACGGCTCTCGTCCTACTGAGAACGCAAACGTCGGGTAAGACAATGACATGACTCTGCTCACTCCTCTGCGGCGAGTAGAACCCTCTCCTCCCAGTGCTGCCCAACATCGAGACATACCTCAGAATAAGCGCCTACTTGCGTGACGCAGTTATTCGTCACCTATTGCATATGTGTATCGGTACTTTTGTGTAACTGTGCAGAGGATAGGGGAGAGAGATGGCGAGAACATTAGCAAGAAGAGCGAGAAGAAAGAAGAGAGAATAAGGCAGGTATGAAGTCCTCGTCGGTCTTCTTCGGTCTCAGGGCTTTGAATTCACCGTACTGCAGCCTCCTGCCATGCTAGATTCTTCAGCGGGGTAAAAATGAAATGTGACAGAGTCACAAACAGAAAAGTGACGAAAGGATCTTCTTCCTCCCACTTTCAGCCAAGCCTATATGAAGCCACAGCCGCTTGATCCGGGCTAGTGAGGCGTAGAAGGCGTTATCCCAGTACAAGGAACTTAAGTGGTTAGGTGGTGACAAGTGCTCACCCATTTCATAGGCCGACGGTACAGGTAATTTTCTACGTGACCAGGAGAGCGAAAGCAAACCCGGATACACATTCAAGTATCCAAGTATGTTGCTATTCATCTTTTCTGTGTTTGCGAAGCAACCAATGTTAAAGACATGAAGTAGGATTAATAGAGAACTCTCGATACTTCATCGTCTAAACTTGACGCAACGCAAACCAGAGTACCTAACATATCTAGTCACACGAACTTCCTTCTTCTCATAGTGGTAGTGGTACTCTGCTAGAGTATTATCGATGTTTTGGCATCGCCCACCCTGTACCCCCGAGTTGGGTCGATACATTATCCTACTTAAACGAGAACTGATCCAGGTGTACCTATTCTTTAGGCCGGCTCTATGCGAATAGTGTAATGAGAGCAAGCGATACCAGGGTCGTAGATGTCGGGGGGAAACATACAAATGACGGACAGCAATATGTGGTTTCGTCACCTCCCAATGTGCTGTCTGTAGGTAATCTATCACCTTAATTTTTTCCTCCCACAAATCACTTGGATGGACAGGATCTGGGTAGATCGGTATGTGGATGATCCGATTTGATAGCCCTGCTCGTCCAAATTCTTGCTCGTTTGGCTGGCAAACTACCGTATGCAGAAAGATATGATGTCTCGCACAGATAAATGGATTTCTAGCGCGGATGCATAGCTAGTGGGCACACTGTAGGTACCTACGCCCACGGAAGCGCCATGTAGATTACAGATACGCGATGCCCGACACCGGTTAGATTAATATTGGGGGTTTTCTAGTAGTTAAAACCTCGACATACGGCTAGACGAAACCATGAAATCGCTTGCTTTGGTTTACTACTTCAGACAATTTACAAAGGCAATGCTTGAGAGATTGGAAATATGGATGTTTCAATAACATTTAGATCCAGTAATAGTCGAGGCAGTCACAGTACCTACCTGGAAGCTTACTTAGAGCCCCGGATAGGGCTGATAAAAATAAAATAAAAAGCCACCACCTAATCGGGACGTGTCGAGCGATCATTATTCCTTTGCGGGAACGAAAAACCCACTAGTCCAGGGATAATGAAGGTACGGGGGAGGAAGGAATCTATCATGTCATTCAACAAGGGCAACCCGTATCGAGTAACTTAGATCTACTCGACCCAACCAGCCAACGAGAGCATGAATTCCACCCCCGTAAAGAGATATTTATGTCTCCCAACAAGCTTCCGGGGTCAAAGTGGGCATACATGGTACTTATCAGCAGCAAGACACATGGCTGCCGTATTTTAGGTAGTGGGTAATAAACAACAGGACTTCGCAACGGAAAATTTCTCCTCTCCAGCTCCCTAGGTACACGGCTTCTTGCAGGGCCCCGCTGTCAGTCATCTATGATACTCTGCAGGTATCCGTGGTTGTGCGACTAGCCGCTACATCATTGGCTGAAACCTCGTCCGTCAGTATGCGAGACATTTTGGGGGTTCAAATTGCCATGGAGACATGGAGACATGGAGACATGGAGACATGGAGACATAGTACCTTCGTCAATAGTACCTACCTACCTAGTATGTAGGATCCAACAGGGAGGGAGTCGATTCTTCGTTAAAGATACTTCCCAGGATCATCTAGCTGCTGCGGCCGAGAAGAATCAGATGAGGTAAGAACCTTAACTATACCATGTCAACGATCTACCGGGAGTTGGGGTCCTTTCCGGGAGCTCGTGGTCGTTGGGATGGTTATCAAGCTTGGCTCGAAAAAGGGAGAATCGTGAGGGGTCGCTCGATCCTCTTCCCCCTCCTCTTCGTGAGACGTTATGTTGTCGTTCATCTCTTCCTCCTTAACTATTACGAGCTAGGTAAAAACTAACAAGACTGGCATCATAGTAGCACATCGAGAACCCCCTTCCTACTGAACGCTGCTAATTGAAGGGTTGACGTGGCACAGGCTTGCCCCCCAAAAACCTGAGGGTCTAAATCTAAGGTGATATGAATCGGCCAGCAGGTCCTCAGCGAGTCGCTGTCGATGTGGTCCATTTTTCCACCTCGTGTCACCGTCGGAGCTCCTTTTTTAGGCGCATTCATTTATTGAACAGATCATAGTCGGACTTCCGAGGGAAACGTATTGAATGGTCTCAAATTGATGAGAACGGGAAATCACATCAACTCGAAAAGCTTGATGGTTTCTGGTTGGCTTTTTATGATGGTCCCTTTAGCTGTAAAAGTGGTGCTCTACGATAAATAGTCGCAGCGCAGCGTACTAAGCCTAGCTAATACAGCAGAGGGATAAAGGTGTGCTAGGCGAGATTGTCAAAGACGAGCTTGATGCGATGAAAAAAAAGATTCCTTCGGTCCGAGATAGACAAAATATCTAACTGCTTAGGTGGATAGGTATGAATAACCCTCCATATAGAGAACTGCCTGGTATGTCAAGAGGACCTCGTCGCACAGGTCGGGGACCTTGCAGAAAACGGTCTAAAAGGCGACCAGCATCGAGGAAAAGCAATAACAAAACCTGTATTCTAATCCCGTACGAGAACTCCTGCGGGCCTGCTAGATAAAGGGTAGCATCGATCGGTTTCTTAGACGTTGGCGTCGAATGGCGTGGCATGAGCCCTCTTTGGCTCGGATCAGAGATGCCAGGAACGCTGAGTGGTACGACGGCTAACAACAAATTCGACTCGCGAATCTCACATCCTAGTAGGTAAAAAGAGCGCCCTCGCCCCCCACACTCGGGAAGGACATGTTGCAAGCTCGCGACCACACCATCCGTATCTCGTTGGTTGACGACCCATGTCGTCCAATGCGAGTTTCCACCCATACCTTGCCTATGCAGATGCAGAGCTCCCCCAATTCCGGTCGCAGCGCCCTTAATAACTTAATCATCGAGCCTAGTAGCAGCTGAGGCAAATACCTGTCAGCTGAGAAGACAGCCATGGTCATCTGGGTAAGTAGGTATTCTTTAAACAGCCCCCTCCCCCTCCCCCTTTCTCTACACCATCCTTTAACAAGGTCCAGGCCCCATGACAATGGCAGCGCCTAAAATGATGGTAGAATCGTCTGATGTGTGAGGTTAAGTTAGGTTAGGTCAGGATAGGTACGGTCTATTACTAGATCAACGGTATCGTCGACAGCGAAACATTCGGATGTCGTCAAAGCCTGCAAGTCGGCGAGCGGCGGCAAGCCACGAGCCCCTTGCATCATTGAAGCCGCCTTCCATTGTTCCATCGGGCTTCTAGTGTGCGGGTAGGTGAAGATGATAAAGGGATTTAGGTTGGGGTATATACCCGGAATACTGGACCTGGTTCGTCGCGGGATACTCTGCTTCTCCATACTATATGAAAATGGAACCTCATTCTTGACCTGCCAAAGTTTGCCAGAGTTCCTCGATGATAACCCCTGACCACATATTGATGCCATACACACACCTTCATAGCTCTAGTCATGAGCGTTGTCTCGACACACACCCAAGTACCTACCTAGTATGTATCCTTGTCAACCATATCCGATCCCTATTTTCCCTTCAACCGGCACAAATGTACCTAGCCAATACTTTATCGTGGCTGCTTTATTACAAGTAGGTACCTAGATATTAATCTTAACACCTTAATACCCGGGCAATTCATAGTTCCTCGGGCATTCTAACAAAGGGTTGTCGAGCGACCTCGTTGGTAACACTAAAATAGCAGGATCCTAGACGATGTGACACGTTGAACAAGTTTTATGATCCAGCAACCGAGGCTTTAGTCATGAACCTTAGTTGCTAGACCTAGACGGTAGGATTATCCATCTCTTTCCAACGATAGATACCTACTTACCTACCTAGCTAAGAACTATTCTGCCGTGGAATCAACGGCTGCCTGCAATATCTAAAAAGCATGCGGATAAAGATTGAGATTATAGATTGCCAAACATGTCCATGGATACTCCTCATGGCGGAAGCCCTAGTGCTGCCGCATGAATCATTCAGATATCTCACCCTCATCTAAATTCTGTATGTTCCTACGTCTCCGGCCATTCTCCGTGGCTACCGCGGTGATGGGTCATTCTAGCTTGTATCGCTGGATGTGTAAGGATTATACCAAACATGCACAGCTAAAGCACGCTGATAGGATCCTCGGTATAGTGACGATTACTTTATTTTCGAACCTATACGAATTGGGGACTACATTCGTAATTTATAGTTAGCTAAAAGTTTCCGATCATCTTGCATCTCAGGATGCATCTGTTCGCATAATTTAGTTCATTTTAACACTGACTAGGTACTAGTCATATGATATATATTAGAGAGGTTGGGGTTCGAATGACACACGTAGAGCTGAGTAGAACCTCAAGGACGAGCGAGCCAGGTTAGGGGATTCGACTCATAGTACGCGATCGCATTGTCTGCACTAGGTTAGCAATTGTCCTTTCTCTCTAAATCGGATTACATCTACCTAAGTGTTCAATGCTACATTTGCATAGCAAAAATGTAGAAACTTCTTTGCGTAAGGATGAGCACCATACCGGGATGGTCAAACAGGTATCTAGCGAGGCCCCTATCTTAATCGATTTGGTTCGCTTAACGGATATGGTCGCCTTGTTCGGAAACGATGTCATTAATTACCAGCTATCTTCGTCTATTGTCACCGCGTGGTCGGTCTCTATCGTAATCTCTACCTTGGTCTCTTCGACGTCGGTCTTCGTACCGAGGTTTAGGGCGATCATTCCTTTGCGTCTCATCGTACCGGTTCCTATCACGAGGTCCGTCCCGCATTGGACTTCTACTTCGGCGCTGTGGAGCCCTATCTCTGTCACGTCCGGGATTTCCATCTCGGCGCCGACCTCGATCGTTACTATTTCGATCCCTATCCTTGACCCCATCCCTGAAACGATCGGAATCTCGGGCAGGTCTGTCATCTTGATTTCTGTCGTCTCTCTGTCGTCCGTAACGACCGCGCAGCTCCTCCTCTCCGTGAACCATATTGTAACCATCCTCGGCGCCGTCAGGATCGTCTTCTTCTCTGTACTTCCTCCATTTCTCTAATTCCTTGACACCACCCCATCCGCCGCCTCCATGTTTGCGCTTTCGTTTCGCATTTTCTCCACCTCTCCATACCTCGGCTAGCCTGCTCACACTCTGGCTGAAGTCGACATGTATTCTTCTATCGTCGATGAGCACTCCTTGCATCTTAAAATAAGCTCCTTCGCAAGAAGCCTTGTCTTCAAATTCGATGAAGGCATACTGTAAACTGTCACCGGTCTTCTTATCGCGTATTACTTCGCAAGATAGAATCTTGCCGAAGCGGCTGAAGATAAGTTCGAGGTCGGAATCGGTAGTGACAGGATTTAATTTGCAGACGAAAAGCACATTCTCGGGGGGTTTGACCTCGGCAAAGGGAAGATCGCCCATCATCTCCAAGGTTAAGGCCTGGGCGCGGGCCTCCCTTTCCCGCCGAACCTTCTCAGCCGCCTCCTCGTCAACCTCTTCGTCCAGGTTATCATCTTCGGCGATTCGAACTGTGGCGAGTTGCGCCTTAGAGGGTTGGGGTGATTGGCTAGGCTCTCGTAGCCCCGAGGGGTCATCATATGGGTCGTCAAGGACAATAGTGTGTTTTATCCGAATATCGACGAGTGGGTGTCCATCTTTGTCAGTGATCGCAGTGTTGATTTTCTCTAGCGCATCGAATCCCTCAACAACTTTGCCAAATATTGCCGACTTCCCATCTAGATAATCTGTGTTGTCGCCTAAAGTGACGATGAATTGGCTACCAGCGAGACGAATATCGGGATCAGAAGGATGCGGCGCGGTGGCCATAGAAACAGTGCCCCTCTCAAGATGCCTTAATTTTGGGTGAAAAGTGGCAGGGAAAGTCTTGTTGGAAGGGCCAGATATAAGACCCCATATGGAAGAGCCGCCATCGGATGAGGCAGAGGTAGGGCCAAGAGGGTCGCCGGTTTGGAAGGAGAAGTTCTGTTGTACGGAGTGGACGGGGGAAAAGTTATAGTATTTGAGTTTACAGAGCTTGAGGAAGTTTTCACATTCCTTGGGCGCGTAATCAACTAACAGGTCGATTACTATATCGCCGGCGCTGGTCTCCAGCAATACGGACATGTTCTCGTTACGACGTCGAGGTCGCAGTCGCGATCGCGATCGCGGTCAAAGGGAATTCGGGGACGTATGTAGACGGTTCATATATATGGTATCGTTAGGTCGAGAGAATGGTGGATGAATTGAATGCGGTACGGATTTAAAAAGAAGACTTAAACTTTGAAGATATGGTGAATCTTCAAATCTACTAGGCAAAAAGCACCTTTGGTAAGCTTCCCAACCGTGACGCACTTTTAAAGTTATCGCGTTGATTGGTAGAACGCCACATATATATCTAGTACACAGCCATAGAGAATTTGCACAGCCACGATACTCAGGTACATATGTACAATACATCCATAATGGACATGGCTCGACAAGATCCATGGATGTATTTTGTACCATCTCATGCTTCAAGCTTCCACCGTTTCTACATATCTCCTTACAATCACGATCACGATCACAATTACAAATACGTACTTGATAGATTGAATAGTGATTATATACTCATACGGATCTAATTTATACTTCGAAATCCCAGTCTTCCACTCGTAGGAGGATGCCTTCGATGGCACAGCAATACGCACACACGAATCATCTCGTTGTCCTTCTCCTTCGATGCACAAAACGCATTCATAGATCGATGATCGAGGACGAATCCATTCCATCTTCAACCGAAACAAAATCGCGAAAATCCATCTCCCGTCACCAACCCTCAGCTTCAGAATTGTCAACCTGATAAGCCGCTATGTAAGGTTGGCGAAGAATTCTTTCCGATGCGCCAAACGCCGTCAACAGCAAATAGGTATCGAGTTTCCCAAGCCTAATCCAGTTATCCCTTAAAACCTGTAAACCCCGAACTTTGAACCGTCCGTCCGTCCGTCTAGTTAGTTTGTTTTTCTTCCCTGTACTTTTCTCTTCCTTTCGTTTCTTCGTTCTTGGAGTTACCCAAGTAGTAGCAGTAGCAGCAATTGTTCCCCTCCTTCGTATGCACTTGCGCTTCCGGCGCCTAGTCGAAACCGCCATGGCTTCGCCGTCTTCGACCGCTGCGCAATTCCCTCTCCGTATCCATCAGCCGCGTCTGCACCCACGTTCGCATTTCCTGGTCCTTCCGTATGGTCTCACAGTTCAGGAGTTCCGTCAGCGCTCGTTTGATGCCCTCGTTCACGTCGAAGAGCTTCTGCTCTCCCGCTGCCATTTCCTCGATCAGCGACTCGTCCAGTACCGGCTCTAGCTGTGTTTGCGAGCATCGGTACCCCGAGTTCTTCATCGACAGCGATGATCTTCGGTGGCTTCGGGAAGGGAAAGGCGAGAGCGTCATAGACGGGCTGCCAGTGAACGAACGGGTTGGCGAGACCGAAGGGGATGTCACCGCCGTAGAGGACGTAGTATATGACGGGCAGAGATCGTGCATATGTTGCCGCAGCTCTTCATGCTGATTCTGTAGCAAGAGGTATTTGTGCATGGCAAAGCCAATGTTATGGCCCGCAGCCAACTCGAGGCTCATTTCCGACAGCTCGTCTGTGTAATGCATCATCTTCGGTGTTGCGATAAAATGTATTCAAACCGTGGAATACGTCTCACGGCGAGCTTCATTGAATTAAGAAAGTATCGAAGTCGACGGGGAGGAAACAACAAGTCCAGTTGACCGATCGATCGATCGACGGTGGGATGGCTGGATGGCGGCGGGTGTGAGTGGGCGTAGCGGTGGGTTTTTCGTTCCTGGAGCGTGGACGAGGAAACACACTTGTTTGTAAAGTGCGCTTGTGTCCTGTCGATCCGACGATCACAATTGTAACGTCGTCCCCTTTTTAACAAGTGCGGGCGACGGGATAGTTGCTTTTTGGGTATTGCGAGTGCTTAGGAAAGAAATTCGGAATGATTCCTTCTAGAATACAACTCTCCTAGTTGAAGTTGTAGATAAGTTGGGCATGTATGTACCTAGGGATATAATTGGACTGGCACAAGTAACTCTCTGTCGGGTTTATTATAAGACCAGGACAGGGGAAAAAGGCGATATTTTTTTAATATTTTCCCGGGTTGTTGCAAGTTCCAAGATTTGCAAACTGGGGTATGAGAAACACAAAACCTCCGTGCAGATATAAGGAAATGATGCGTGAACTGGTTAATTAGTCCTCCAGCACAACCGACGTCGGCGCCGTCAAAAATATAGCCGACAGATTAAGTCTGACGATCTGATTGCTGGCTTATTTCTAGGCGATTTAGAAGGTTCAAATGCTCTATGGCATTAATAGGTAAGTCGCAGTAGTGGATATACGTCTTCGTGTCTCTCACTTGAAAAAGAAGTTGGAGCAGACCGGTTTTAATCAAGTCGGGAGGTCCCGATTGCGTATCGTAGGCTTATGCGGAGGTGGAGGTGTGGAGGCAAGATGCAGTAGAGAGATGGTGGTGTAGAACCCGGCGATAGTAGCAAGCTCCAGAATTAGAGAAGTTGGTGGAATCCTAAACTCGGAACCGCCAAAAGCCTAAAGAAAAGAAGAGGACCGACTTGCAGCAAAAGAGACGTAATGGAATGGGTTTAGGTAGATATGTAGGCAGGTAGGTTAGGTATGTATCGACAAGATACGCGGCGCCTATTATAATAATATAAGAGGACGAGTAGGAGATCGAGTAGGAGGAGTGGCGTAGAACGATAACAGGGCAACGTCCAAGTTGGCGCAATGTAACAATTAATTAAACGTGCGAAATTGGTAGGAGGAAGCTAAAGGTTGGGTAGAGGAGCTTCGTCTTCCCGTTGTTGGACTAGACTCGGCCCTGTTTCGTAGCAAGTTCTATTACTACGGTGAAGGGTAAAGGGTTAAAGCTGGAGTTCCCCCTTTGCGAATGGCAGGGCTTCGGCGACGTGATTGCAAGTTTTAATTTATTGGGGCCTACAGGGTCGAGGCCGGGCTTTTAAGAGCCTTTTTTTTTTCCTTTTTCTTTTGGCTGTTTGGTTCTCGAAAAGACAAATGACGGCGTCGATATTGCGAAGCTTGATGTATTAATGTATTAGCTGTAAGCGCGTTTGCTTCCGGTAGGGTAGCTGGGTAAGCACTTGGAGGTAATGTAGGTATGCGTGCGGTTTTGACTTGTCACTTTTGTAACCTGCTTTGATTTTACTCAAATACTTTTAAGATGTTCTTATGTTCGTTTCTTAGCGGATTTGCCGAGGGCATATATAATATATATATACTAGGTATGTATACTGTTGTATAGCTATCCCCAGACGAAGATATGGGAATTCCTAAGGGGCAAAACAAAAATACGATTCCACTGGCTCACAAATACCAATACAACACCTGATGATGGTATGTTTAGTTCGGTAGGTATCTGGAGCTGTGTGCGCTGTATGTATGTATGTTGTCTCCCCGTACAAAGAGCTCCGGCAGGAGTAGGAAATGTGCATATATGTATGTAACTAATTGATAGCGCGTCAGTTAGACGAGCAGAACGGACAGAAGGAGCTCTTCCGTTGGTCAGATCGAGGGTTCTTTGTATGTACCTAATCTCTGGAGAAGGTGTGGAGAAGTATATTAGATGTAAGAGAGTACATCAGAATGCGGATATGATAGCGACCGAACTATATTCACACAGTGTCATTAAATTGTAGGGTGTTGGTACCTATTCTGTAAGCTGGTAGACCGGTAGGTTATCTTCGGGACTGCCACACCTCAAGCTCTCCCAGCCTCCAATCATGGGCAACATTCCAAGGTTCCTCAATTGGGCACCACTTAACAGCACTCTAATTGAGGGGAAGTACACTGATAGCTTAGTTTTATAGTGGAGGTAAAGAAACTAATTGGTCTGTAACCAGGTAGGATGTAGGTAGAGCCTGCTGTCTTTTGTCTTGTCTACGCTGCTACGGTCTACCTAGTACTTACCTACCTAGGTAGATACCTATCTTATTCTGGAAAGTGTGCCTCTCAGAGTTCAACTTTACTTTTTATAAAGGTCTAAAATGGCTTCAAGCCACGCAAGTACAGCTACTTAACCTTGAACCTACGAAGAATGCAGCCGATGATGACGGTATTGGTAATGATGATAAGAAGATGACGTCGATTGCAGCTCCAAAATTGGCAAATTTCGCTTGCTTTCAGACAACACAGTCTAAACACTGTCCCAGCTCGACCGGGAAGTAACCGAAGCTGACAGGTACTTCTTCTCCAGAATCTGCCCAACCTACAAATGCGTCTGGCCTGTCACTATCATAACCCAATCCCCATTCCTCTTGAAGATGGAGTCTAGAACAACGCACACGATGCCGTTATAGCGATACTATCACGCTACCAAGGCCGGGGCTAGTCTGAAATGCAATAGAAATTATCTAATGGATATCTAATTGATACGGGTTGGAGACCATGTGGTTGAATCTATTCGCAGCCAGATCGAATGAGCACTCGAGCTCGTTTAAAGTCGGCAATCGGGATTCGCGACCTTTTATAAGGGTGACGAAGTCTTGAGGCACAACCATAGATAAGTAGGTAGGTATGTTTTTAGAACCGTCGAGAAGGTTTTATCGAAACACTCGCGGCAACTCATTAGCCATTGACCAACTCATTTTCTTATCATATATATAGAATCAGCATATTAACAACTCGACGATGAGAACGCAACTATTTTAAAGTGGTAGCGAAAACAGACATCTTTATCTCCTCGCGTTCTAGAGCAAGTGTTCAATGGCAACACGGTAACCTGATGTGAGCCGTCTATCTCATCGGTAATTCATATTCATGTCTTGGCCCTTACGATAGGTACCGGCAGATTTGCTCCGTACATGCCGTACACATTGTCGAATACCTGGGTACCAACCTAGGTAGGAAACATGTCTCCATCGCATTGCTGCCTTTATCACATCCTATGCATAGCAACTACCTACCTAGGTACCTAGGTAATTCGGGTACATACCTAAATGCCTATCCATCCTTCAAAACCGATATCACCTCTCTAGGTAGGTAGGTTTCTCTAAGTCCTCATGTCATGCTGTTCTAGCCCCGTTCGACGGACGAGGGGCTCCGTAGGTCCGTTGACGTTCTACATACACAGAGCCGCAATGTGGATGCATGTGTATGGAGAGCTAGGAGAGGACGGCTCAGTCGGCATCAATAGAACGATGAAGCATTGGCTCTACTGCACAGATCAACAGGAGCCATGGAGCATTGTATCGTCATATGCGCCATCTCACTTATACTTGGTTCAAATAGTAACGTACACTACCGGGAGGGGGGGGTATTTGGACATGGTCACAACTAACGTTTCAGTATTTCGACCTGATCACCACCTTCTATAAGCCTTGCTAGGGAT